GTTTAGATTTTCGGTGATAAAAAAAAAAGCTCCAGGGAAAAATTTTCTCGAGTGTATCAGTTTGGGGTTTTTCGTAGTATTAACTCATTTTTTTCTATTTTGTTACTTAGACCCAAATCGTAAACATTTTATAGTAAAGAATCCGTCGCGATTCATCAGGCCATTTGTTAATTCGAATCTTCAATTCAAAGTATATCCGGGATTATCTGTTGAATAATCTTTGCAAAATCAACATGCTCTGGCTGCTTCCTCAAAAAAAAAAATTTATTTTTTTCATTTTTGTTTTTATTTAAAGGGGAACGGTGTCTGGATGAGGCCCCACGTGTTTTGTACAGAACTAGCACGTGGCGGAAAAACAGAGTGGCGGGGCACCTCACGAGAAAGTTCCCGTCAAGACAGACGAGGAGGAGAGATAAGTAGGGCCCACCAGGAGGGCCGGTCCGGGTGTACGGCCCGGTCGAACCCTCCCGCCCCGAAACTTCCTCGCCTTTGGACAAGGATTTTTGTTTAGCTTCTTCTACTCTTCCCTCCCCCTTCCGCAAGCAATTACCGACCGCCAAAAATTTTGCACCATCGCAAGAAGGTTCGTTTGAATGAAACCTTGTACGAGAAGCTTTCGCCGAGCTGCTTGGAGGTGACCGGGAGAGCGGGGGGCGGCGAGAAGCTTCGTCGAGCAACCGGCCCCATCTACCCCCTGTTTCGCCGGAATTGCTCCCGCGAAGAAATACCCGTCTGTCGAAAGCCGTTCTTTCCGGCTTTGATGAGAGGAGACGGGTTCTGTGGCGATTCCGGACATGCTTGAAAATACAGCAGCTTTTCACGGCAACATATGTACACAAACTGTGTCGGAATTTAATCGACCGACAAAGCTCGAGAAGGTGCAAAGATGTAACGCCAGAATTCAATCGACGACGCAACACTCAAGATAGATATGCACGTCGGAATTTAATCGACGACGCGAATCGGAAAGCTATATCTAAGGAAAAATAAAGTGCGGTACAGGAAAGTGGAGATAATTGAAACATAACATTTTGTTTGATTTGTCGGGAAGCTCCGAAGAGTACGATGTGGCAATCTAAAGCCTACATTGAGGTTACAAATGATTACTACACAGAAATAACTTCTTAGTGGTTATGAGAGGTTAGAAAAAGAGGTTACGCAGAGAAGTTACGTAATGAGGTTATAAACGGTTATTACAAAAAAATAACTTCCTAATGATTACGATGAGTTTGAAAGATAAGTTACAAAATGAGGTTACAAATAGAGCTTACGAATGATTATCGAACGGCTATCGAACGGTTATCGACGGTTATGTAAACTCCATTACGTTGAAGGTTTCTTCAACACAATTACGTTGACGGTTGCATCCGAGACTGTCGACTCTACTTTTCTCAACTCCTTCACTTTGTCAATTCTTCAAGTTATCGCATGTCGATAGTAACTAAAAATTGAACATTTTTTGGATGCAAACACCCTCGTGTGATATCTCTAACATCGTGCATGGGAAAGTCGCCGAAGCCTTTGTTTGTCATCACATCTAAAAGCTTTTCGTCGATATCTATGTTGAATCTTGTATCTCATTGGCCGTCTGTTCTGAAACTCGCTACTGTCGAATGTTAGGTTGGAGCATGGCGATTTTCCTTGATTTTGCTCGAGCGAGGATACACTCGGCCACGACATTGCAATCGCTTGATTTATTAAACGGTCGCATGATTCGTTTGGTCATATTTGTTTTGCAACAATACAAAAAGCTCGAAATTATATCCTCTAGGAACGTGTCCCGACAACGAAGAGATAATAATGGAGTTGTCAAATAAGGCGACCAAAAGCCTAATGTTATTTGAAAAAAAAAAAAAGAGAAAAAAATCGATGCTAACATAGAGCGGAAAGCGATTGATACTTGGTTACTCCAGTTTTGTAACACTGTTCTTATGAATCAATTGACCCGTTTAATTTAACTTTGGTTGCATTGATAGGTATCGATGGACGCAATGACATCGATCCGCCAAAATCAAAGATCACAGTAATTTTAAAGTTCGAAGGGTTCAATTGCACGTACAATTCCTACACAACAACACGACACGTGTCCTTCGTTTTCACCGGGGGGGAGAAAAAAGCGATACGCGCGTGCAAGAGAATAGCGGCACTCGGATGCAAAAAAATTCCGGAGAATCGCAAAAGCGGGAAAACGAATTGACCGGGAAAGGTCAATTCTCCATTCGTTGGTTTGCTGGGACGTATCTGTCGGGACTTGGTAATCCTGAACAGGACAGCGATCGAATCAGACGCATTAATCTGTTGTCCCAAAAATAATTGGACGGCAATAATTGAGACGTCCCAGGATGAGACCCACGCAGCGTTCCCCACGCTCATTTCTTCCTTGGACGTCAAATTTCGACATCCTTGGGCTGGTGGGCGTGGTAAACGAGGGACCATGTACCTTCGAAGAAATTATCAAAGAAAAAAAAAAATCTTAAACTTATTGTATATGTGCCAATTCAATCTTGAATCTTTTAATTTGACCAGTTTAGTCCTAAATTTTTTGACAATTTGCCAATTCAGCCATTTCGATTGATTTTGGTTGGAAATCGCTGACGTTGATAGATTTTTTCAAAAAAAAATTTTGAATTAAGGATCACCGGCGACCCTCACTGGCCGTGGGCGAGGGGCGCGAAGGCCCTTCCTAGATCTGGGCTGAGGCCGCCTAAACCCCAGCCGATGGGGCCGCGAAGGCCCTCGCCCGCGACCGGCAAGGCCATCGTGGCCTCGCCCAGGGCCTCCGCGGCTGCGAGTGAGGCCGTGAAGGAGAGCTGCCTTGCCGGCCGCCCCTTACCTGTGGCTAGCGAGGGTCGCTAGTGACCTTGGCCAGTACAACGAAAAAAAAAGGAAAGAAAAAAAAAACATATTCAAAATTCGATTTTTTTCAAAAGAAGTTACAAAAATTGTCTACGTCAATACCGATCGTGTCACGTTGGACGGCCGATATTTACGTCGGTGATTTCCCGCTAATTTTGACTGGAAGGACTCAATTGATAAATTGTCAAAAGGTTTGGGACTAAATTGATAAAATTGAAAAGTTTAAGTCTAAATTAACATAAGTACAATAAATTTAATATTTTTTTTTATAATTTCCGCACGTAATTTGGGAAGACGCACTCCCTTCCTTCTCCAAGGGCCCACGTCTCTAATAATCCACCTTATTATATTTGCTAGTCCCGCTTTCTAGCCATCGCTGCGTCAATCATTATCGTCAAGATAATGTTTTAAGTGTTGCTTATTTTCCAATCGTTTCCATCGCCCTCTTTTTCTACCCTTTTGGGCTTCCGTACGATCGCTCAAAATCCTAGATTTTTTTAGTCCTGAACAGTGCTTCTGACCCTGTTGGTTAATTTCTAACTTTCCGGAAGATTTGTCCAGGTATTTTTTAACTGCTAAAAAAAAAACAAAAAAATGACCCCCTAAAACGTGTTCAAAATCACGATCCAATCTGCCTGAAGATGAGAATACGTGGTGAGGTGTACCAAAGAACAGCGAAATCATGTGTCGAAAAGTACGTACACCGGGAACTAAATGCATGATAAGTAGTAAAATACAATATGCACCCACGAATGTGTGAACGTGGTCTCGTCTCGTGGCACAATTAGGGCGCGTTTGGTAACGTGCCAAACAGTGAAAATTTCTGTTCTTTTGTTCTCAGAAATAATTTTGGAACAGAAATGCGTTTGGTAAACTTTTTGTTCCCAGACACATTTTTGCAAAAATTTATGCCCAGAAACAGTTTTGGAAGAAAAACAAGAAGTAAAAAAAAGTTATTTCTTTTTTTAAGACAATTTTGAGAATGAGTTCTTTTTCTTCTTTTCTTTTTTTCTTTTCTTCTTTGTGTTGTTCTTCCCTGGGCTGTGGCCGGTCGCCGGTGACCGGCCATAGCCCAGGGCCGACGAGGGCGTCATGGCCCTCGCCAGCGAGGGCGAGGGCTGGACCCTCGCTGCCTGGGTGAGGTGGCTCGCCGTCGATCATGGCGAGGTCGGCCTCGCTCGATCTGGGCGAGGCCGAGCCTCGCTGTCTCGACCAACGGCGAGGTCGGCTTCGCCGTCGCGACCCACGGCGAGGTCGGCCTTGCCCAGATCGGGTGAAGCCGAGCCTCGCCGTTGCGACCCACGGCGAAGCCGACCTCATCGTTGCAACCCACAGCGAGGCTCGGCCTCGCCTGATCTGGGCGAGGCCGGCGATGAGGCAGGCGTCCAGGGCGGCGGCGAGGGCCGCGATGCCCTGGCCCATGGCCGGTCGCCGGCGCCGGCGATCGGCCATGGCCAAAGAAGGGAAGGGTAGAAAGAAAAAAAAAAGAAAAAAATATTAAACAATTTAAAATATTATTAATAAAAAGAAATTTTGTGTAGTTACCAAACGTATTTCTGTTTTTTTCTATCCCAGGAATAGAAATTTTGGACAGTTACCAAACGCCTTTAAATGCTTAGAAATTATTTCCGGACACAGAATAAAAAAGAATCATTTCTGAGTAGAAATAGTTTCCGGGCACAGAATGATTGTCATGCGCACCCTTAGCCGCCTAATTACGGGTGGCCAGGATAATGTGGAAAAATCTCCCGGACTAACGAAAATAAGAACGTCAATAAAATAAAATAAAAATAAAAAATTGGAAAAAAAATTAGAAATAGAGAGTCGACATTTTTCCACCGTCCGATCCGCATATTCGTACCTGAGCGGGTCCGGCGCAGCGTCCGCCAACCAATTCAGTTGGTTCGGCCGATCCCGAAGCCGAACCTCTGCTTCGGACATTTCGGCAACCTGTCGAAAATTAGACAATTATTGTCTTGTCCCTACGGTCCCATGCACAGTGCCAATGGAGGCAGCCCGGGTCGGGTCGGGTCCATTTCGGCCCATCTCCCACCCTGCCGGGCCGCCACCCGGGTCTTCTCCGTGGAGTCAATCTCTCAATCTCTCCTTCATCTATAAAAGCAGCGTACCACCACCCCATCTTCTCCGCCCCAACCAACCGCCTTCCGTCGCTGCAGAAAATCTCTCCGCCTTCCCTTCTCTCCGCAGCCTACTCGCCGGCGACCGCGCGCTTCGGCCCCCTAGGGAATCGGAGCCCCGAGTTTCTCGATCGATCGCTCGCGCGAAGGGCAGGGCTTCCTCCGCCTCGAATCGCCGCCGGAGTTTGTGTTCGTCGCGGGTGGGGTAAAACCCGGTGGCAGACGAGTTGAGGACATCACGGCTATACACGGCGTAGCCCGGCCTCTCATCCATGCCCGCTCCGTTCGACGCCGCAAGGGTTGCCTGATCGCCGCCTCCTGCGTCGGCAACCCTTCGCCGCACGGCGGACGAGGCGCCCTCCCCTCCGAAGGCGGCAGCCCCTCCGACCTCCTCTTCCTCGCCGGCGGGGGTCCCTCCTCCCTCCTCTACTGCTAGCGTATTTTCTTCTTTAGGGTCTCGTGCTCGTCCCTAGCTACTACGACGTATTCTGCTGCTGTGTACCGAGCGAGTTGCTGGTGTTTTTTTTTAGATCTCGTGTTTTTTCTCGTACCTGTTCTGGCTGCTTTCGATTTGAACATCGTCGAGAGAGAGTTGAGAGCAAAGGGGTGAGAGAAGATGATGCTCAGGATCAAGAGGGTTCCGACCGTCGTTTCGAATTACCAGAAGGAGGAGGTTGAAGGCGGGCGGGTCGGGGGTTGCGGCCGCAATTGTCTCAACAAGTGCTGCATTCAAGGTAAAATTTTTAAGGAATCTTCCGTCTTCCGTGTTCGTAATTTATGTAAATTGTGCGTCTCCTAGATTGCGTAATTGAGCTGTTGTCGACTCTGGTTTGGGATTGATAATAGGAGCGAAACTCCCGTTATATGCTTTCAAGAAGGAGGAGGAAGTCCCTAGCGACAAGGCTTTGCTTGGGCATGAGGATGGGGAGCCTCCTGTCGCATTTCTCGACTCCCTTCTGCTTGGAGAGGTAAATTTGTTACCAATCAAGAATAAAGCAAACTCGAAAAGGGATTTCAGCGAGTTCCGAAAGTTGTACTTCTGTTATCTTTATGTGTTTAGCTCAAGTTGCTCGATATGTGTTAAGATGCTTGTTCTCTTGATTGGTAGTGGGAGGATCGGATGGAGAAGGGTCTATTTCGCTATGACGTCACTGCCTGCGAAACTAAGGTCTCTTCCCTGGCTCCATAGTTTTATCTTGTAGCTGTCCCGAGCTTGTGGGTTTCTATCTGATTAAGAAAGGGGATTCGGGGCTCTGGTGTGATGATTAGTGCGTTGATTTTGGCGTAGGTGATTCCGGGTGGGTATGGCTTCATTGCACAGCTGAATGAAGGACGTCATCTCAAGAAGAGACCAACTGAGTTCCGCGTTGATAAGGTGCTCCAGCCTTTTGACGGAAGCAAATTCAACTTCACCAAAGTTGGTCAGGAAGAGGTTCTCTTTCGGTTCGAAGCAAGCGAGGATGGTGAAACTCAGTTCTTCCCCAATGCTCCAATTGATGTTGAGAGTTCCCCCAGTGTTGTTGCCATCAATGTATGCGGTTGTCTATTCGAAACTAAATGATTGTCTTGCTTATAACATCTTTTAGGAAGCTTGTTGGCTGATCTTTCTTTTTCTGTATTTGCAGGTCAGTCCTATTGAATATGGCCATGTGCTGTTGATCCCTCGCATCCTGGAGTGCCTGCCACAAAGGATTGATCATGCGAGTTTCTTGCTTGCTCTGTACATGGCTTCAGAAGCTGGAAACCCTTATTTCCGAGTAGGTTACAACAGCCTGGGGGCATTTGCCACCATCAATCACCTGCATTTCCAGGTGTCTACTCGATCGATTTCTATCTATAATTTGTTGGCTTTGTTGAATAATGACTTGTAAACTTCGGTAGGATAAAAGATATAACTTGATTATAAATATCAAACAGGCATACTATTTGGATGTGCCCTTCCCTGTCGAGAAGGCTCCCACTCGAAAAATAGCAGCCCTGGACAATGGGGTGAATGTATCTGTACTCCTCAATTATCCAGTCCGAGGTCTTGTTTTTGAAGGTGGAAATACCATACAAGACTTGTCCAATGCAGTTTCGGACTCGTGTATCTGCCTGCAAGACAACAATATACCTTACAACGTCCTCATATCTGATTGTGGAAAGCGTATATTCCTCTTCCCACAGGTGATCCACAATTTATATTTCTCGATATATGAAGACGTCATGAATATACTCCATGAAAGATTCTAATTAATGTATTGGTGTAACGAGCAGTGTTATGCTGAGAAGCAAGCTCTTGGAGAAGTCAGTATGGAGCTTCTGGACACGCAAGTGAACCCAGCTGTGTGGGAAATCAGCGGGCATATGGTCCTGAAGAGGAAGAAAGACTACGAGGAGGCATCCAAGGAGAATGCATGGAGGCTCCTAGCAGAGGTTTCCTTATCTGAGGAGAGGTTCCGTGAAGTGAGCAACCTAATCTTCGAAGCAATCTCTTGCAGCGTTGATGATGTTGCTCGATGCTCGCTTGATGAGCCCAATGCCGAACCTCTGGCGGACTTTGCTGCCACCTGCCCCAATATGGTGGGCAGGAAGAATGATTGCCTGGTTCTGCAGTGAGAATTGATCCTTTTGATATTTGCATTGTGGGAGTGTGTGTGTGTCTGGAATTTCAGTTGCTATGGGCTTCCTGAGGATGCCAGCAACTGCAGAATAAGCGAACTCGGTTTCGTCGTTCTAGTGTCGGGGCGAGTCTTGTGTAGTGTCTATGTGGAATGTATCGTCTGTGTTCACCTGAATTATTGGTTGCTGTAAATTACTGTATTGGTACGCTTCTCGGAGATACTATCAAGCATCCTCCGAGAGCGTGATATTTCAATCTTCTGCAAAAATTCTAGTTCAGATCGATGTTCATCCCTTGCAAATAACTGCTAGTCTTCCTCTTGCCTGAAGAAGACAGACTACTTTTCCCAGTTCAAAGCATGGAGACTTGCACAAGATCCGACTACATTATGGTGCCAGCTGCTAAAAGGAATTTACTTAAGGAATTTACTTCCCAAACGGATGCTTATGGAAAGCAAAAAAGAGCAGCTGCTAAAAGGAATTTACTTCCCAAACGGATGCTTATGGAAAGCAAAAAAGAGCTCCCGCCCTTCGTGGGGGTGGCAAAGCTTGTTAATGGGAAGGGAAGCTATAAGCTCAGATGTTAAATGGCTGGTGGGGAATGGAGAGAGTATCAACATTAGAGAGGATAAATGGCTAGAACAGAGCGTGATCGGAGGTTCAGCCAGGTTCAGCAAACCGAGAAGACCCTCAAAGAGTCGTAGAACTGATTGACCAAGGGACCAAAACATGGAATGAAAACCAGTTACAAGGGCTGTTCCAAGAGGAGATTATGAGTGAAATTCTTGCCATTCGGCTTAAGCCAAACCCGAAAAGTGATAAACAGATCTGGACTGGAAATACATCAGGGGAGTACACGGTTAGACAAGGATATTCCAAACTACGTGCATCTACACCCAAACAAAATACAGAACAAGCTTCATCATCATACCAGCAGCCCCGCTCACTATGGTCCAACATATGGAAACTACACACAGAGCCAAAAATTCGGTTCTTCTTGTGGTGTGTGTGCCGAAATACTCTACCCACAGCGGAAAATCTATACAAAAGAAGGGCGATAACTAACCCGCTCTGTCCAATTTGCTAGAAATATCCAGAGACAATGGAGCATATCTTCATCCTATGCGACTGGACCAAGAAAATCTGGTCAGACCCGAGGCTACAGGTAGATGTATCTCCGAGAAATTTAACAAGAATGGATAAGTGGTTTGACGAAGCACTCACCGGCAGCACAGATCCGTCCCTTCAAGAATTTCTCGCGGGAATCCTGTGGTAGATCTGGAAGGCTAGGAACGCCCAGGTGTTCCAACAAAAAAGTCCAAACCTGGGAGCAATTGTAGATGAAGCTATCCATCTTAGCAGGAATTATCACGTCCAAAACTCACCTGAGTTGAGGAGCTGGTCCGAGAAGCCCATCACAGAACGGTGGTCGCCGCTAGCAACAGGACAGTGGAAATTCAACGTTGACGGGTCATGGATCGAAGGCAAAACAGAGGGGTTGGGGGGGGGGGTGGGGGGGGGGGGGTATGTAGGGATCACAGGGGATTGCCTTTAGCTGGGTTTGCAAAAGTGGCTACTGCTTCTTCTCCTCTGGAAATTGAAGGCATGGCAGTGAAGGAAGCCATGCTCTGTCTACGGGAAGCGGCTGAGTTGAAAAATGAACTAGCGGAGCATGTGAGCATTTTGTCAGATAATGAAGCCACCGTTAGAATTACTAATCAACCGTCTTTGAGCCCATGGGCTTTACGAAGTCTTTTTGAGGAATGTAATGCACTACTCGCCCAATCTCAAGGTGTCTCTTTAGGCCACTGTCCACGCGAAGCCAATCAAGTCGCAGACTGGATCGCCAAATCCCATCGAAAAGGGACACTTCCAATCAACTGGTTGTCTAGACCACCCCCATCTCTTTGGGATTTATTTTGTATTGACTTTTGTCAACTTCACTCATGTGGTCCGCCTTTAAATGAATGAAATGGTATGTGTTTAGACAAAAAAAAAACATGAAATAAACTTCTTAAAATCACTAAGAATTTATTATTTTGAATGAGCTATGCTCTAATAATTGAAATTCAGTTTTGTTTTAGACAAGGTGGATTTCCTTATTTAATGTGATGTTCTTGTGATATTTGTATATAGTCTTTTCCCATGATGGAGATAAGTGGTAACGATGGTCTATTTATTCTATTATGGAAAAACGGCACAGATAGTTTTTGAACTTTGACTCAATATGCAGTGTAGTTCATGAGTTTTTAATTTGTTCAATATAGTCTCTGAAGTTTAATCCAATGTGCAATATAGTCCATGAGCTTTTAATTTGTTCAATGTCGTCCTTGGATTTTTGGTACATGTTCAATGTAGTCCTTGAACTATATGAAAATGTTTAATATAATCCTTCTATTAATTCAAATTTAGAGATTATATTGAATATTTTCATATAGTTCAGGGATTGCATAGAACATGCACCAAAAGTCCGGGGACTATTGAACAAATTAAAAGTTCAGCGACCGTATTGAATATTAGGCTAAAGTTCAAGAATTAAATTAAACAAATTAAAAGTTTAGGGACCATATTGCATATTAAGCTAAAGTCTAGGGACTGTTTATATCATTATCCTTTCTATTTTTTTAAATTTTACTTGAATTGTGAGGAAATGATGAAAATTGTAGTTTGACAAACTAATAAGCTAAACGTCATTAACTTAGAGCTAACTGAATTTTTTTAAGTAATTTTAATTTCAAGTGAAAGTGGATTTTTTAATAGAAAATGCTTTCATTTTATTTCTCGATTGTATGGACTTTCTTGAATCATATAAGTTATCTATAACTAGATACTTGGCCTGCGCATTTGCTTTGACAATTGTGGTGGATATCTTGTTTTCGTTGCAGGTAATATCATCTTAAGATAAATTCCTGATAATTAGGCAAACTAAATATCGTTGTAATAAATGAATTCTAAATCAACGACGGAATAATCACAAAATAGAATTTATTCTAAATAGCAAAGGTAATTTTCTTATACAATGCTGTGAAATAACGCGAAAATTAATGGATCTTGCAATTCAATAACTTATCGAAAACATCAATGAGGAACAAGAAGCACATTAGAGATTTATTTGGGTCGATTCGAGTATCAATACTACTCTATAGGGAGAGCCAATTGCTAAGAAATTCATTATGAATCGGGGGTGCAGTTGTTTCATAAAAAATATGAATGAATGAAAAATATTTTTATTGTTAGCGAAAATGTTTAGACATAAAATATTGTTGATATTGAAAACATATTCCATTGACTAATTCAAGTGATATAAGCGATTATTTTTATAAATATGTTTTCTAAATCATTTATTTTCCGTAAAATAAGCGAAGCTCGGGGGAGTACAAATTTTACCATGGCTCCGTCGCTCGAGTACTACCCAGCCCCCAATCACCCCTAAAATAAACCCACAAATGTTATCTTACAATCTCTAATTGAGAATTGAAAACTTCGAGATAGAAAATCCTAATAGTTTTCTTGTTTGCTATGGTGCGTTCATCTCGTAGAGTTACATCTCACATATATGCATAATTGTTGCATCCAAAGTAAGAAACCGGGAAAGTTACCCAAGCTAGGAAATCTACTGGGATGGGGTTTAGTTTACGTACTCAAATTTGAGATATATTCTCAATACAAAATACGTTTTTTTTATACAATATTGATCTAATATAGATAAGTTAGCGTGGGCATATTTGGAAATAACTCGTTTTGGCAAATCTTTGCTTGGAGTTCTCATGGACCCAGACGAATGTGCAGTGAAGCCCACTTCTTGCTTCTCTGCGAGTGAATGTTCTTCTAATATTGTCATTCTCAGAAGGGGCTTTAATCATATTTGTGTGGACATTTATACTTTTTCACAATTTTTTCTATTGTTATATGGCTTAGTTGTGTGCTTGGAGAATTGAATTCCATCAAACTTGCTTAATAGAGGTGTTCTTGCATGCGCAATCCGTTTTTGCACGTAATTCCGTCACTTTCATAATTCATTATGTTGGTTTGGTATTTTTCTTTTCTTATCATGGCTTTATCCTTTTGTTTGTTTGTTCTATTGAACTAGTTTGCTTTGCGTTCATTTATCATAACTATTTAGTAACTTCTGTCTTGGTGCTTTAATGGCTACCCCTTCTATTATTCTTTTATTTGGATTTAGTATAAACACTTCGATTTTAGCCCTAAAACTAAAAGCCCTATCTCTCCCTTGCACTACATCTGCCTAGGGCCGTCAAATGGGTGGGTTGGGTCGGGTTTGGATCGGGTCGAATATGGTCCGACCCATATTAATCCATATAACCCGTTTTAACCTTTTTTCATGCAATGCAATTTTTATGACCCATATCCAACTCAATCCATACCCGACCTGACCCGTATTATCAAAACACGTTAATAATCTAGGAAAATTCATACCCACCCATTTAACTAATTTTAAGCTTTTCACATGGATAGGTTTTATGGATAAAAACTTCGCATCATATTAAGCAATAAAAAATTAGTAAATAAAATAAAAAATGCAAAACACCTATAAATCAAAACACGTTTTAATTTTTGGATAGTGCGATCAGACGTGAAAATTATAATTATGCGTAAAAACCGATAAAGAGAAACAAAGTCAAAAATGAAAAGTTACGATGACATATTCCTTTTCTTTCCCTTAAAAAAAAAAGGAAAAACCGAATAAACACGAAATGTTGTCGGAACGCCTCCCTCTCTCTCCTCCGTATGCCTCTTGCTCTCCCTCTCTCTCTCCTTCCATGTGAATCTCCATCTTCAATCTTCTTCAGCTACTCGCTCTCCTCTCTCTCTCTCTCTCTCTCTCTCTCTCTCTTCTTGTTCAAGGCAACAGTCAATGGCTCTCTCGGCGACGTCAGTACATTTCTAGATCCTGAAGCTTCTCTCTTCCTCGCTCGGGTTGGGAACTTCGGCAGCGGTCACTTCTACTCGCGGAAGCGTTGGAGCCCCACCGCGTCCTCGAGGAGGTTTCCACCGAGTCGAGCGGTCGTCGGCTCAGTCCGAGTCGACTTAGTCGTCGTCGTCCTCCTCGGATAGCGACATCGTTCGATTGGGGACGGAGTCTCTCGCGGCGGCGGCGGCGGCGGCGAGTGCAACCAAGAGACGATCGGAGGGGGAGGGACGGTAGAAGCGGAGAGGGGGCAGCGAGACTCAAGGGCGAGAGAGAGGCGAGGAGCGGGGGTGCTGCTGCTGCTTCGTCTGCAGAGGGGGAAAGAGAAAGAGAGTAGCTTGGGTTGAAAGTGGGTTTATTACTTAACCCACTAAAGCCCATATTTTTTTGGCCTTTCTCTTTCTTGAGAACCACCATTTTCATAAATATGAGTTAAAATATGAATTTGTGATCCATTTTGACAGCCCTACATCTGCCATCTCCTGGGTCGACTCAAAGCTTTTAGGGCTTTCTCTCTCGGCGCCGGCTCCTGCTTCGCTCAAAGCAAGAAGCCTCCAACAATTTGCCCTCCTGCGACGGACGACGGAACTCGGGTTCGAAGCGAACATCGGCAGCTGTGTTCAAGATTCGGCTCCGTCATTGCTTTTGCTCCAGAGATTGAGCGGTAAGTTCGTCGCTTCGTTCATTGCTGCTTCTTGTTCTTTGTATTGTCTCTTGTTATTTCCCGAGTGTTTGAGGAGGTTTTTGGGGCGAGGGGCTTGCGGATTGATTGATTTCTTATCGGCATGATTTTGTGTCCCGGGATTGATTCTTGGAATTATGGAACCATTAGGTTGTAGCTGCTGTTCTTAACTTATTGTTGCGTGCAAACCTTCGAGTGAAGTTTCCGGTTGTGCGCGTAAGGTGTTCGATGAAATGACGATGAGAAACCCATTTGACACCCATTTGATGGTAGGTGCATTTGCACTGAGTTGGAGTTTGATGCTACAAAAGAACCGGTCAAAATCTACTTGTTTAAATCTACTTTTAGCAGTATGACCAAAAAAAATAAATTGTTTTAACAGAATGAACAAAGTAGTTTGTTTGAGGAGCTTAAGTTGTCGAGACAAGGTGCTGCATTGCCCTCGGAAGATGGGTTTCGTGACTTTTTGCTGATTACCCTCGAGGTTTGTTCTGGGTTGTCATTTTTGAGTGATAAGTTAGCGTGGGCATATTTGGAAGTAACTCGTTTTGGCAAATCTATGCTTGGAGTTCTCATAGACGCGGATGAATGTGCAGTGAAGTCCACTTCTTGCTTCTCTGCGAGTGAATGTTCTTCTGATAGTCATTCTCAGAAGGGGCTTGAATCATATTTGTATGGACATTTATACTTTTTCACAATTTTTTCTATTGTTATATGGCTTAGTTGTGTGCTTGGAGAATTGAATTCCATCAAACTTGCTTAATAGAGGTGTTCTTGCATGTGCAGTCTGTTTTTGCACGTAATTCCGTCACTTTCATAATTCATCCTGTTCGTTTGGTATTTTTCTTTTCTCATCATGACTTTATCCTTGTGTTTGTTTGTTCTGTTGAACTAGTTTGCTTTGCGTTCATTTATCATAACTATTTGGTAACTTCTGTCCTGGTGCTTTAATGGCTACCCCTTCTATTATTCTTTTATTTGGATTAAGTATCTGCTTATGATACAAAGTTTGTTAACTTGACACAGCCACTTGAATTATAATAATTTCAGGTTTTAATTGTCATAGATTGGTAGATGTCTACTTCAATGAGTGAATCTAGTGGCACAAATAGAAGGAGGACGAGATCTACTGCGTGGGAACACTATAAAATGACTAAAAACGCAGACAAAGCTGAATGGTTATATTGTGGGGCTATTGTTGGTTGTTCTACCTCTCAAGGGACTAGCGCGATGCGTAATCATTTAGGTGTTGTATAGGTTGTGATTTTTGCCAGGCTTGAGAAGTGCATATTTTACAGGTCCTTTCTATGCAACGTGTATGCTCACCCGAAAGGTGTTTGAGGAACTGTCCGAGAGAGAGATACCAATGTTCGACTATCTAGGTCGGCGATTGAGTTGAGCGATATAGAAAGCATGGGTTTTGATATGCGGTTCGACATTGTCGAAAGTGGTCGAGAGTAAGATTGGCTTTTACGTTGTGAAAGTCGTCGGCTTGGGCATGAAGTGATGGTTCTATAATCTGGTGAAGGGTTGTTGGTTTGTTATTTTGTTTGTTATTAGAATGTGACTTATTTCAAAGGTTTAGGATACCCATCTATACTTTGCATGGATTATACAGTTTATAGTGTCATTTATGGTCTAAAGGCATATTTTAGACAGGTGTGGATTTTGTGAATGGATGAGAAATTAATATTAGAGTATTAGTTTCTTTATTTACTATACAAAACGGCGTGGTACATATGCGACGACGATTAAAGTCAAAATTCACTTGGCCCATCAGAAAAATTAATCGAGTTGAGTTATGGAGAATGGTGTCCCTCATGTGAATCATTTGGTTGTGTCTTGTGTCTACTTCTGCTTGTTATATATTCTTCTTGGGCTGCAGATAAGCGAAAAATGAAGAAAGGGATACACCCTCAGATGCAATGGATATCGTATGTGACCCAGAGTGGGAGATTGATGCATGTTATGATGACGAAGATACACAATACTGGCAAAGTTTACCATTTTCGAGCGAGACGTCAGATGGCTCAGAGCTTGGGGCAGATTGCAAAATTCAAACGCCGTTATGAGCAGCAGAATGCTGAGGACAATGAAAAGTAGTACCTTTGAAGGTGCAAATATAAAGTCAAAGTCGACCATTTGATTTCTGGGTTCGATCTTTTTTAGTGCAAACACTTCGATTCACGTGCTTCCCACCTTCCGTTTAATAAGTCCAGGAAGGAAACGTTTTCATCATTATACAGAGAATGAGATGGAAGATGAGAAGTGTATTTGTCAATAGATTGTTTGGTTTATCCTTGGTTTAATAGATTTTTGTTCTTCCTTAATGATGCATCAGGATTATTCATGCATGTTTCATTTGTCTGGCCCTCAAGTCTGTTCTTGTGAAAGCATTAAACTGGAGCTTGTCCTACAAAATGCTCGAATGCTCTTCAATTTGTTGTTGTGAATGATGAAACTATGCAACATCTCAATTAAAAATGTGTAAAAAGAGCCCAATTTAAGGTTTAAGTCTAGGATCATAGATCGTGCCAGTTAAGAAGGGTTTCAGCGAGACCTTTCTTTGATGACGGTCCAATTGAAATAAGCAATTTTCTGGACAATGTTTGAAGACTTGCTTTAGTGGCATCACTTCAAATCTTGGATTTTGATCGTATGCAGCCAAATAGGGGCCTGGAAAATTGCTCTGATCAACCTTATCCTCAGTCCTACAGGGGTGAAGAGTTCAGCACGGTTTTATGCATCAACTCGACTCAATTAGGCACAGTTCGATACTCCGTTTGAGCTTTAGATCAACCTTAGTTTCTCAAGCTTTATCTCGAAGTGACCAAGTTTTCAACCTTAGTTTCTCAAGCTTTATCTCGAAGCGACCAAGTTTTCAATACGCTTGAACTTTAACTCAACTCGATTAATTAGTAAAATATGATATAAACTCAAGCTCGAACCTTGAAACTCTACCATACGGTATAACTCGACAAGTATTTATAAATTCGATCAAAACATGTAGTAGTTCGATCACTCGATTAGGCATGTGTATTAGTCGAGTATTTTTCAGTCCAAACTCGACCTGATTAAATATTCGAGCTATCCAAACTCGAGGAGAATCGAAACCCAGATCGAGCGAGCACTTAAGCTTTGCCTAGACATGAGGGTTCTATCCAACGTCTGATATGAATGGTGGCTTTGTCATTTGTTGTGGGTGCATAAGTTAGAAGATTCTTAAGCATCCTATTTTGAGCTTGCACACAGTATCTGCTGCAATGGTCATTAATTTGCTGTAAGTGCTGACCAGCCTAGCTCTTAAACAAGTGCCTGTGGATAATCACTAAGATTAATAATCTTGATGTGGATAGTAAGAATTATTCCATATAATTATCGGTCTGTGGCTGTTTAGTTGTCCTAGTTAGCCTAAACCTTATCAGCTTGAAATTGAACCACATTTTCACGGGAACCTTCTGATTGTCCATGCTCATCTCGGATCATGACAATGACTTACCTTTTCTAATTTATGTGACAAGACATTGCAATGCAGTAGGAGCCTGCTAGTGCCGTTACAGCTTTAAATCAGGAACTTAAATAATAATGAAGCAAAAAAGGGCCCTTCAACAACAGCAAACAAAAAGTTAAACCCTCATCACGAATTAAGCAATACACCCCCCTCGCCAGGGTCACCACCTAAAACATGAAACCTCATGGCTCAACCAGGTAAGAAAAACATGAATTCAATCTTCTCCCACAATATCAAATTAAGCAACGGACCCACCTTCTGACCTTTATATAAACACAGCACCAAGCTCGCCAATCATCCTAGCACATCATCTCACAACGATGCGGCTACACAATGCGCGAATCCTGTTCTTGTGGCTACTCTTGTTATATGCATGTTCCGTGACAATGGAAGCTAAGCCGACAACTTCAAGGATTGGGAAAAATGAGACCAATGCCTCATTGTCTCCTTGGCTAAAGACTGTGTTGAAGAACAAGGACAAGGACAAGGATCCGAGGGACAAGGATCCGAGGGCCGTCCGGTGCAGGGGCAGGCCATGGATATGCAACCAGGGGTCTCCGCCATTCCGCATGCAGTGCTGCAAGAACCGGTGCGTTGACATCACATCGCACGTCAACCACTGTGGGGCGTGCCTCATCAGGTGCCCTTTCACTTGGCAGTGCTGCTCCGGCCTCTGCAGGAACATAAACATCAATCCGATTCACTGCGGTCGGTGCTTCAACCGCTGTCCCTTTGGGGTCCCATGCCTCTTCGGGTTGTGTGGGTATGCCTGGCCTCTGCTGCCGCGCCGCCCAGACCCTTTCAAACCTAGGCCTCCCAAGCCTTACCCGCCCCACCCCTGGCCTCGCCCGCCAAAGGGCTATGAGCCGCCTGCGGTCGCTTGAAGGCTGAATGTCCATTAATTTGTGTGTGCTTTGATTCCCGTAGTATTGAATTTCATATCTGGATGTTATTTATTGTTATAATTTCCTGTCTATATCGATGTTTCTCATGCTATGTATGGGTCATAGCCCTATACAGTATACAGTATGCCTGTGACCCTCCCACCCTCCTAAGAATAAGCTCAGTTTATTCAGATCTTTCCCATTATCATTTCATACATTATACAGTATGCCTGAGACCAAACACCATGGTGAAACAGAACATCAAGGGAAAAATGAAAAATGAGAGAGAGAGAGAGAGAGAGAGAGAGAGAGAGAGAGAGAGAGAGAGAGAGAGAGAGAGAGAGAGAGAGAGAGAGAGAGAGAGAGAGAGAGAAGGATCACTGAAGTGCCAAGCAACATAAACATCTTCTTTATCTGAGAAGCTGTGTATCCGTTACAAAAAGTGGAGGAAATTACGGATTACAGCATAATGGAACTAATTGAGCACAAAGCTATCACCCACACACGCGTTTACTGCAACCATCGATAATTACTAATAAGTAGGGAAGCTGGGATCCACATCCCGAGCCCAGGACTCCAGTCCCCCAATGATATCCTTGGCAGAAGTAAAGCCTATCTTCTGGAGGTAGTTGACAGCCCTCTGTGAATCATTACCTCTTCGGCAAATCACGTAAAGGCTTGCATCCCTCTGGCCCTCTGCTTCCTTTAAAGCTGATGAGATTTCAGCTACTCTTTTCTCTAAGGTCGAGAGCGGAATGTTCAAGGAATTGGGAAGAGATACAATCCTGAAGTGGTGCTCAGGGCGGACATCGACCAGTATATGCGCTTCGCCATTTTTAAGTCTCTCACCGTAGTCCTTACTGCTTATCCTGGAGTCTACCGATAGCAAATTTAACTTCGGAGGGGCAGACTGCATCCAATAGAAGATCATTGGGACAGAGAATTTCTTCAATTAAGCATAAAAAATCAGAAGAACACATATTACCGCAGACAATGGGGACCTTATAAAACATGTCAACGTAATAGAAGTACAAGAAGAAATACACCCTTGATAGGATCATGCCAAGGGGAGAAGAAGAGCAGAAGAACACATATTACCGCAGACAATGGGGACTGGGTGAACTTCTCATAGTCAAATTCTTGAAATTGTTGTTGTGTAAATGTTGCATTCTCTCCACACACTTCACAGTGCAAAGACTTGCCTCTTATCTTGACCTATACATACAAAAGAGAAACAGGAAATAGGTTGGAAGCTCTTAGAGTATTTCACAAACAACTCAGTAGAAGAATGATCTGTTTCAAAAAAAATCTGAGTTCATAACATAATGTGATGATGCATACAATTCGTATCCGTCCAGATAAAGCATCAAACAAAAGCATCCTTCCCACTAGTGGTTCACCAACTGCACTTGCAATCTTTATTGCCTCGAGTGCCTGAAGACAGCCAATGATACCCGGTACTGAAAAATTCACAATAAGGAATCACTCTCAAGGTCTTGACTAATAACATTGGAAAATAATGCTGTTTCCCTATAGTTCCTATCTCCATTAATGACCACTAATAGGAGAATGCGGAAAATACAATCTCCACTCAAGAGCATACATTGCAAGAATGAACAGGAAATTCCACAAGCCATCCTAATTGAGGCCACTTACCTACTCCTAGAACTCCGCTGTCAGAACATCGCTGGCATGCTGTTGTCGGTGGTGGAGTAGGAAACAAGCATCGGTAGCATGGACCTCCATTGCAGTTATAAACTGTGAGCTGTAAACAGGTAATTTACGTTTCTGTTAATCTCACAAGTATTTCTGGTCCTTCTGAGGAAAAAAAAAATGCAATTCATAATTTTGTATTGAAGTAGCTGCTAAGCTTACCTGCCCCTCCAATCCTAGTGCAGCACCTGATACAAGAGGCTGCGCTTTCAAAAGAAGCAACTCATCACAATTACAGCTAGAATGCTAGGCACATAAAAGATTAACTTGCTTCTCTATGCTCAATCAACATGTCCAATCAATAAACCCAGAAGAAGTACGAAGCTCTTATTGTGATACCTCAGCTCAATTATCAAGAAGCATCAACATTTAATAAGGAAAGAATTAATTGTTACATTTACATTTCTTAGGTGCACACTATCATAGGAAGGTTTATTCTAGTAGATGACGTGCATCAAGCTATAAGCCTCGCTGCTAGGGACATCTCAATTTTCACGGAAGGAGTCAGCCAACCAATAGAAGTCAACTGGTGACTTGGTGTCTTTGCCAAGTAAAAGCAATCACAGACCTGACAAAAAACCACTATACCTTCCCCAACACCACACAGCAATCGCTGATCATGTACCGGCTTGGAGCATTATCCGTTGCATCTACCACAATGTCATACCTAGCAAGCACAACAGACATGAAAATCAAGATACTTCAATCACCGAGAAGTGAGAAGGAAAAAAAACCCAAACGTGGAACATGAAAAGAAAATGTCCAAAATAGCGTATTATCACTTCCAGCATACTTGCTCAAGATTTCCAAGGCATTGGAAGTACGTAAAGCCTCTCTGTGTTCAACGATCTGGACAGTTGAGTTGATGCTGAAATCATATCAATATCTTATCAGAATACAACAAAATTCCAATTAAAATACAGCATATGAAATTTCGGAAAAAAAGGACAGAAAAGAGTCGTCGGTGTCACGTACGCACGACAAGCAGCAGCAGCAGACTCGACCTTTGACCGGCCTACATATGCTTCGGTGTGGATAATCTAAAGTACAATGTAACAAAAGGAAGCAGGTCATGTCGCGAACTCACGACAGCGAAAAACAGCCAAGAAAGACAAATGCGCAAACTGCGATCGTGACTGTGCTCGAGAGCAAGTTCCAGCATGTACCTGCCTGTGCATATTATTAAGCTCTACCACATCGTTGTCGACAATACCCAACCGACCTGGGTTTAGCCACCAAACATACTGAGCTCAGCAGATGACAAAACTCCAGAGCCACGGTTACAAGCGAGCTACGAAATCAATCATCAATCGAAAAATGTTACAACTAGTCAGTGAGCAGACATACCGACTCCACAAGCCGCGAGATATAACAGAGCCGGCGATCCCAATCCTCCGGCTCCAACCACTAGAATCGACGACTTCAAGAGATTCGACTGCGCTGCGCAAATCAAGCGAAGAACGACGTAATTAGAACAAACTCGCGGCAAATCAAAAGCCCGCCCATCGATTGCGATTCGAGGTAGAATCGAACCTCGAACTCCAAAAGAAGGGAGCAAGAGCTGACGGCTGTATCGGTGGATCATCTCCGGCGAGAGCCCGTGCCCGAGCCCCGGATCGTCGACGGTCGCCGCCGGCGGGCCCGAGCCGTTGCTCGAGACGGCGCCGCTCCGGCGGCAGCTCGAGCCCTTGAGCTGAGCCTCGAGAGCTGAGATCTTGGCCTCTATGTCGCTCTTCGCCGCCTTCAGGGCATCGATTTCGCCGAGGATTCGAGCTGCGTCGGCGCCGCCGGAATCCATCTCGCTCTCTCTCCTCGAGACGGCTGAGCGCGAGAAGCGATGGAGATACGAGAGCGAGAGACTGAGACGGAGAGGGAGAGGGAGACGGGGGAGGGCTTCGAAGGTGGCAAAAGCCCTAAGCTTTTGGATGTTGAAGAAAGAGGCGACGCCGGGGAAAGAGACGAGTGAAGGGTTTTGACTTTTGAAACCGTTGACTCTTGTACACTGTGATTAACAAATGATGCTGTGCCGGTGCGCCACGTCAGCTGACTAGGTCCGAGAAAATATAAAGTAGCCTCGCCCTGCCACGTCGGCTTGGTCTCGACCCACTTAGTTGTCAACACGTGGCGCCACGTCAGGGAGTGAGCCCCACTAGATTCGAGCACTCACTTTCTCTCTCAATCGCGAAGTTGCTCTGAAAGAGATAACAGAGCAAGAGAAACTTAAGTTTAAGCAACTCTTTATACGAAAAATCAGAACTGCACCAAAAATCGAAAAAAAGAGGCTGTTTATACTCTCCCTTTGCATTCAAGGAGCATCTCGAAAATCATGAATACGCTCGTCACAAAAGGCACTTAATTTTGCATCCCGATCGATCTTTAATGACTTGTCACGTGACAAATATAGAGACGGGCACGCACGGCATATTTGATGACGGGGAATTTGGTCCATTTTTTTTTTTGGAGCCATGTGGATATTTGTGTCCTGCTGCTGGTAATAGTTGATGACATTATTTCAGATTCGACCGATTAAATGTTTGCAATTGCACCGTTGATTGAAAAAGAAAAAATCAAGCAATTTTCGTACCTCTAAAATCCCCTTGGTTGGGCCTATTCGAAAGATCACAATCCAATATGGGCCCGGGCTCGGCCCAGACTCTTCGGCCCAGTGATTTCGAGCCCAAAAGGCCCGCCCCCCTCCCCCTCTCTCTCGCCCTCAAATCAGAAACCCATCGCCCCTGCGGCCGGACACGCGCTGGGCCGGCGCGTGGACGTCCGAGAAATGGAACAAGTCAACGCTCTAAATTGTTATGACAAAATCCATTTGTTTAAAAAAAAAAGAAAAGAAAATCGGTACGACCAAATCCAATTTTCTTTGGTTTGAAAAATGGAGACTTTAGAAAAAATAATCCTAGGATAACCGACGAATCTGTTGGGACAGGAGGCTTGTTTAGTATAATTTTCTCGCGAATATACGTAGACGTAGACGGAGACGGAGAAAGTAGTGCTATAACTTTAAACATTAATGGTCAATGAGTACGGCATTTCTATAATTCTATTGATATTGGAACGGTCTGCATGACTCTTAAAAAGTCCTCATCATTATTGATTCTAATGTGCCGCAATATCGAAACGTGTATTATTACAAGCAAATAAAAGGGTTTATATCATGAAAAAATACCAAACGGGTACATCTGTGACAAATTTACCTAAAACTAATTTTTTGACCACCAAAAACCCCAAACTGATACGTTTGTGACAAATTCATCCCATGTTAAATTAAATTAATACCACGACAAATCACAAATTGGAACACATATAAACCCCAAATTGGTATACCCGTCAAATGTCACGTGTCGTCCAACTCAGAAATTTGACGGAAAAATTTAAAGAAAACTAACGAAGGGTAAAATTATCAAAGGTATACCAGTTTAGAATTTTTGGTGAGAGTAAATTTATTACAAGTATAATAGTTTAGAATTTTTCGTGATATTAATGAAAAAAAAGAAGAAGATATTTTAGGTGGTCTTCCGACTCGAAAACCCCAATTTCCGTTGGCCACAAAGAGGGCGTGGGCGATGATTTTGCAGTTTGGGATTAATGTTTAAAGAGGGCGTGGGCGATGATGAGGTAAGGATTTTAGGGGAGAAGTGGTGGGAGAAAGGTGCATGAACATCTGCGGAGTTCGACGCGTTTGATGTTTCCCTTCTTCCTAGGATGTTTGTTCGTTCATCATTCGGGATGCATGTTACCCAAAAAGGGGACAACAACGATCACATAAGGTGGACGTAATCGTATTCTTTGATAGTGAGCGGTTTCAGACTCCTTATGGATTCCGTATGAAACTTGAAACCTGCCCGTCGAAATAGGTTTCTCATTTTTTGGAATCTGGAACTCACTCTGCATATCCTGAAATCTGGAACATACTCTATCACAAGTTCCGGAGTCTACCCAAGTTCCATCTATATTGATAATTAGACGATTGCATTGCATCATCACATTTAACGACCACTATTTGCTGCTACAATCCACTGACTACAACTTATATTTAGATACACAGAGAATATAAAAAATTAACAAAGTAGAAACCTCAGTCATTGATATCGTCGGAAATAGAAGCTTAGACCAGTACACTCATCATCGAACGCCGTGAAATACCATAGGATTGCGCGGAGATATAAAACAAGAAAACCACACAAACTTGTTTCAGGTTTCAGGTTCCAGGTTTTAGGTTCTAGACACCCGTCAGAACCGATTCTCTAATTTTTTAAATCTAAAATCTATTATACATACTTTAGAACTTGACATCGGACCGATTCCCACCGATCCCTAAAACCATGCTCATCCCTAGCATCTATAGATAGCCGAAGGCCAAAAAACACCCCAAAATGATGAGTGGAATGCACAAGGGGAAGTGTCGGACTGTGCTCTAGTCAAGCCTCTTTTTCGTTTTCTTTTTTCAAAATTTCGAATCATTAGGAAATGAGGCAACATATAAAAGTAACAAATTAATTTTCTTTTTATTTCTATACTTTGGAATATTATCTTTGTATAAATGAGCATGTACACAGCACGACGCACTAAAAGCTATATTTTTCAGATTGAGGCACGCGATGACAGGTCAAAGGAGTTAACACCCTCATCAGTATCGCCCAAATCTAAGCTACTCAGTCTAGCCAATGCACCAACCAATGTCGCTGTGTTGTATGTGCACGCTTCCGTCTGCATAAAATTCTTCCTCTCGTCCCTGAACCGGTCCATGTTGTCGGGCCCGCCCACGAGCGCCCCAACCACCACGTTCGGGTTCGGGACGCGGCGTCCGAACCAGTTGTCGTACCCCTGCGTGCACCCGATGAACCCCTTGTTCCTCCTGTAGGATTCGATGGAGGCGCCCCGGTGGTGTACCCTCAGAGGGTAGCTATCGCCGTAGCCCACCAAGTAGCTCGTGCCGCGCGGGTTGTCCCCCAGGATGTAGTCGACCTGGGACTTCGCCAGGCGGAGGAGCTCCTGCGGGTCCACCTGCTCCCCGTCGCAGCTGAGCGTCTGGTCGACCGCCCGGAGGTGGTCGGAGTAGACCGACAGCAGGAAGGCCGCGCTCGCTACGTACTGCATGTTGTTCCACTTGCGGACGAACAGTAAGCCGCCGGGGGTGCGGTGCACGTTGGTCGCGTTGTTCTTGTTGAGGCAAGCGCACAAGTAGTGCTCGGCCTTGGCACGATACTGTTCCAGGATCTGTCTGTGCGGCTCGTGTTTTGCTCCATCATCCATCAGCAACTGCCACCCAAAACACGATGTGAAACTTCGATCAATCAAGAGTTAATGCAACGTGAAGAGGAGCAGGTGGCGAAGAAATTAATGTATAATTTGGCCCGACATCTCCTCGTTCGCACTCTCAGACCTTTCACGCAAAGACAAGAGCATAATTGAATTGGAACTAAGATCTCGTACGTTCATTACGTGCTCCCTATTAAAGAGGAGAGAGAGGGAGAGGGGGGGCATACCATGGAGGCCAGGGTTTGGACGCCAGCGAACTTGACGTCCCAGCTGAACTCGGCGATGGCCCAGGTGATCCCACCGAGCGACGCCGCGTTGTCCAGCACGTACTCCAGGTAGTCGGCGCTGTCGGTGGCCTTGTAGAGCCACAGTGCAGCCCACAGCAGCTCGTCGTTGTACCCGCTCACCGACGGGTAGTACCCCTTCGCCGCCGCCACGCTCGCGTCGTACTTCCCTCTCCTCTTGTCTCCGAACTCGAACAGCTGCGCAGCCCACCAGCAATAAAACAAATTCAGCTTCATTAAAGAAAGGCTCGAGAGAACGGTGTCGTTCTAGCTGTAATGCAATGGTTCACCTAAACGCAAACCGTTTTTGGTTCAATGTGGTGTACCAAGTACCAACTAGGAATATCACTTAACATATGTCGCTATAACGGTCTCAATGTAACTTGACAAAAGCCAAAAAGAAAGACACACACACACACACATATATACATATATATATATATATATATATATATGTACCTGCTGGGCGTGGTGCAATAGCAGGCGGGAGTAATGTGGGTTCGTCTCCCTAAACACGATGGAGGCCGCCGCCATTGCCGCCGCCGTCTCGCCGGCGATGTCCGACCCCGGGTTGTTCTCGTCCACCTTGTGCGCCTGCCGGGACGTCGTCATGTCCTCCGGCCGCTGCCAGCAGTAGTGGTCCGTGTCCCCGTCACCCACCTTGATAATTGAAAAAGCCGGTCATTAACTAATCCCCTTAAACCCAATTAACCAAAGGACGACCGAGTGTGTTTGGAAACCCACTTTAACACGTTTGCAAAATCTGACATTGAATGGACCAAATCTACCTAAAATCGGCTAATCATACTTACGCAGTTGCCGATTTTTCTTTTTCGGCTATTTACAGAATTTCACGATTGTGATCGACTCGAAAAAAAAGAAGAGAGAAGAAAATTATGAAAACAAATGGGGGAGACAAAATATATGATACCTGAGCCCAGAGGACGTTGGGGTGGGTGTGAGCTTTGATGAAGTAATCGGTGCCCCATTTGATGGCCTCGAGCGCGTGCGCCAGCTCGCCGGCGCCGGCGATCTGTTCGCCGTACTCGATCACCCCCCACGACAGCATTGTGATGGTGAACGCCATTGGGAGGCCGAACTTGACGTTGTCGCCGGCGTCGTAGTATCCTCCGACCAGGTCCACCTTCGCATTCCAGCAGAACGCAGAATTCGTCAAGCAATATTCATTTTAATGCACGACCCATATGGAAAGGATAACAGAAAGGGGAAGAAAAGATCGAAAAGAAGATCCGATGGCACAGTCGGATTGAATCAGGACGCACCCCTTGCTCGAGGCCATCGGTGAGGCCGGAGTGGCCGCGCCAGGCGACGCGCTGGTTGTGCGGCAGACGCCCGGAGCGCTGCGACTCGAAGTAGAGGAGGCTCTTCGCGAGCGCTTCGCCGTAGTCCGGAGGCCAGGACTGAGAACGAGAGACGGTCGCGAGCGCGAAGAGGAGGAGGAGGGGAAGGGCGGGGCGACGCCGCCGTAGAAACGCGAGCATGGCGGCGTTCATGCAGGGATGGCGTCTCTCCCTCCCTCTCTCTTCTCTGTCTCTCTCTCTCTCTTGGCGGGTATGTATGCGGAGTTTATAATATGCGAGCCTTTTGGTAACTTGGCAACTTGCCTTGATATGATTAGCAAAAAAAGCTAAAAACAATTTTGGGTTCAAACCTTAAACGAGCTCAACCTCAAGCATATGTCCTTAAAAGGAACTCATGCGATGACAAAAACAGTAACTTACTAGGATCTGGTTACCAATCTGTTTCATGGGAAAAGCATTAATTATGTTTCCCCCCGGTGTAACAACAGCGATGCTCCCGCTAAGAGTCCCCCGAGAACAACCGCTGAAATGGAAGAAGTCGCCTCGCGCGTATATGTTATATCGGGGCAGGTGTCGGTCCATCTAATCAAGTGCCTTCGTCTGCTACGATTTCTATACGGATACCGAAGACGGGACGCATCTTGATCGAGTGACGGTGGGTGAAATGTTACCCGAAGCTCTAATTTTTTGGAGACCCCCGAGGCTACATGTAGGTGACTCTTCGTGGGGGGGAGGTTGATTTGACAGGGCAAAGACGAAGACCCATTTTCATGGAATTTTCAATTCGAACGGGGGTGGGGGAAGATTGAATGACTCTCGACTTCCCACCACCGCTTTTACGTGTTCAACCTGACACGTTCCCTTTCGTCTGGTGCAACGCAGTTGGTTTTTTTATTTTTGTTTTATTTTTGGGGGTAAAAAAAGGGAGTTGGATTAAGTCGCGCAGGTATGGTTAAAGCGTGGTCCGATGAGGAGAAATTTCAGACACTGTGCTGGGGGAAAACCTTTTGGCTCCGAGCGCGTGAGACGCAAGCAGCGCTTCTGAAAGAGATGGGAGAACGAACTCTGGGGTTGACGGTGGAAGGAGTTTGGGAAAGTAAATTAAGTATATGATTATTCATGTATTATATGATTTCTCGTGTGAGGGGGAAATTACCTAAAAGAGTCCCGAATCTATTGTACTTTTACCAATTCAGTCTTAAACCTTTTAATTGTGCCAATCGAGCCATAAATCTTTTCACGTTTTGCCAATTGAGTTCATCCGGTCGATTTTGACCGGAAATTGCTGACATGGACGCAGGCTGTCCTACGTGGCTCGGCCAACAGCAACGTGGACATTATTAATAATATTTTAATAATTTTTTGATTTTTCCTTTCTTTCTTTTGTTCTCTTTTGCTTCTTTACCTGTTCTTTTTTTTTTCCCCTTTTTCCTTCGTCGGCCTCAGGCAAGGGGCAAAAGGCAACCCTTGCTTGAGGCTGGTAGCCGACCATCGACAAGGCCCGACGGAAGGAAAAAGGGAAAAAAGAAAAAAAGAAAAAAAAGATAAAATAAATAAATAAGAGAAAAGAAAAAAAAGAGTAAAAAAATTAATAAAATTTTGAAAAAAATTTAAAGTATTATTAAAAATTGTTTATGTCAAGGCTGGCCATCCCCGGCCATGCCACGCAGGATGGCTGGCGTCCACGTCAGCTATTTCAATCCAAGATTGATCGGATGGACTTAATTAGCAAAACGTGAAAAATGTTTATAACTCAATTGTCACAATTAAAAGGTTTAGAACTGAATTGGTAAAAGTGCAATAAATTTAAAATTTTTTGGACGATTTTCCCCTCGTGTAGTCTAATGAACTCAGGAGGAAAAGAAATGATATTTTTTAAGTAATATAACAAGATGGTTACAAGTTTTCGGGAGGCGTGCGCCAATTAAACCTCAAAATGATTCTAAATCTCATAGGAATTTCCTAATAGGTGCCTCAAACCCGTCTCGCAATTCGAAACCCGATTGGAAATTGGTGTTTGATCCCGATTTAACCCCCATCAGCCTCCATCCCTAGAACAAACATATAAGGTAAGCAACTTTTAAGTATAGGAGTCCTCCTCCAAACTCATTACCTAGATACGTTGAGCATGATTTACATGGAACTTGATTTGTTACCGAGTGAAAGGTTCATTTTTGTCATATCTCTGCTAGGAAAGTCTGCTGGATGCAAAAAAGAGGAAAAGATGCAGTTGTTATTTACCGCACAATTGCAAATTTCACTTATAGACTATACTGTCGGTCAAGGATCTTTAGATCAGTTCGGATGATACCGTATATAAAATCGATGTAATCTGCATATTTGGCTAATAGACTTCAAACGAAACATGTTTGTTCACGCGCTAATGATGCCGTTTCCAAGAAAAAGTCATGTGGGTACATGAACTTATGATCAATCTATACACGCATGAGTGAGTTTTCTCTTCACCAACTCCAAATGCCAAATGATAATGTAGAGTTTGGTCACTCGAGTCAATCTCCAGACAATATAATCTTAAGGTGAGTTCAAGCTTCATCGTCTTCACCAGTGAGAGTGGACTTGTGGAGCAATAGCAGGTCGACCCTTTTCATATGCGTTCCGAAATATGATGATTAGGTACCTAAAAATGTCAGTAGCATGTCTTTGTCCATTGATAAGGTCGTCGTGGTTCAGTATGTGGGTATTGAGGTTCAGATCCAGCTCATTATCATAAGCTTAACTACTCGTATTAAGTGGAAACCACCGACTTTGGGGTTTAAATTAATAAGTTTTTGAGAGAAGATTAGCGTTTATTTTGCTTTCTAGAAACAGTAGGTAATTGAGGGAACAAGTATAGTACATGGAAAATGATGTGTTCAGTGAGATTGCATCATCTCTTCCCACCAAAGACATAAAGAACGACTTCTCCAATGAAGAGAGAAAAGAGCGAATACTGTCTCAAGTGTAGCCTTCCTCAGCCTGGCCCTTTGCGTGCAAATCTTACAGTTGGGGCTGTGCTTACTGAGACTAATGCTAAGTTTGTCCTACCGTGACTCGAGAATCCTGTACGTGTATATTCATACGTATCTACATGGTTCATAAACTAGAGACAGTATGTATTGTTATGGTTTTATGTGTCTATGCTAGTGCAGACGAGGGTTTAAATTGCGATTATGGGGTTCTTTCCAGGGGGAAAAAGATGGATTACATTCCATTCAACCAGAACTGGCATATATATAAACGAGCAAAAAGGCCCAAAGTTTAGGCGTGTAGCTTGCAGCAGAGGAAACATTAGCTGCTCCAAGTTTTGCAACTCCCTAGCGTCTATGGTGGCTTGGGCTTCGACGACCAATAAGGTGGCGAATAATGACCATAGAGTGTCGACCCAAAAAAAAGATGACCGTAGAGTGTAAGCCAGGGGTTTCCGCAACAAGATCCATGTCCCGGGGACCCGAATCATCTCTAGAGATGACAAAGATCAAGAGCCAGCATGTGCTATGGCGATCAGACGGAGAAAATGAGGTAAATAGGCTCTCGAAGGAGGCGACAATCAAGGCGAATCCAAGCCCATACGCAGCCAAATCGATCGACACCCTTATTTGCCTCTCCGATATAGTTAATTTTCAAAGATTAACTTTACGCTGCATCCAAGCTCTACACAGCCACACCAAAGATCATTTTCCATCTACAACGCAAGAATGATCACGATAGCATCATCACCCATAGTAGATTATAACGAATCCTTTCTTTGCACTCTGATCTCATTTGTTTGGTTTGATCCTTAGGAATGTGAGTTTTAGCTGTACGGATCCAAGTTTCGTGGATTAGCAATCGCCTAGAACTCACCTCAGAGGCCTAAAACTATTCAGCCCGGTGACATTGATACATGACCTACTACTTTTTGGGCTCGACTAAAAGTAAAACCATGAGCTGTATAAGGTCTCTTCAACAGATCTCTGCAATAGAACCTAGTATCCGACAAAGAAATTTGGGTAGAAACGTCCTCAATTCTATGTGTCATCAAATTAACTTACAAGGGATGTATATTGGTTGGTCGCATCAATGTGCGAAGTTATATTCGTAATCGAAGGTGAGTACAATTCGTCAATTTCGGTCTGGTAAGTTTCTGCTGAACCTTGGTCCTCAAAAATAATTAATTTCAGTACCATCTTTAACTATGCTCTTTCTTTATGAGTGAAAATCAATTACCAAGGGTTTTCTTTTCATGCCTTCTTTCTCCAATAGAGGCCTCTCGCTGAGCTTGGTCCATCCACATGTTGGGCCTTCCAGCCAGCCTTGCTCTGTATTTTCTCTTTAACGGTGGAATCGTATTTCTTTTCTTTCTTTTTTTCCTTTTTAATTTGGACCGTCTCTTATTTTATATGGTATCTTAACATAGAAGTAACGTTCGAAATGTTTCTTGTAAATTTCGTTTTAGCTCATACATTTGATGTGCTTGTTCAATCCAATGAAGTGATTCCGATCACCTTACCTTAACCTTTTAGGTTGGATGTTTATTTAATGATTTTTGCACACAAAAACCTAGGATAATCAAGAGAACCAAATGATTGACTCCCACATTATTAAAATTTCTCAGTAAATGCACTTTGACTTTTGTAAAATCCAAAATACCTTATACTTTTATAACATGCAAAATATTGACACGTGGATTTACATATAATTTGTCTATATTTTGTAAAGTTAGAACACTATTTTAACTGTTGACGTATTCTTTACTTTCACAATCGAATTTTAAACAGATAAGCCTTTTATTTTCCAATGGAATACATTTTATTTTGCGCAATTATACAGGATCTCCTGAATTTAATAGGGATATGTGAAGATAGTTAGCTTACTTTACATATTTCACTCATCCAGCGAGATCGATGATGCTTTTATGAAATGGATTTGGATCTGAGATAAGCTCATATCAAGTCAATTTAATAGGCATTTTGCACGTTCTAATGTCACCTTTTCAGTCCGTTCTAATTTGTGTAAAGTAAACCCATTACAAATTTACACGATTTGAAAAGTGAAAAGAGCGGAATTAAGATTATGTAATTCAATGTGTTGCCAAGTAGCTCTCCTGGATGATCCAAAAAACAAAAATAGAAATAGTGTGCCTTGCCTATAAGGACTATGCAAAGCCCTTGGATCTTTAATTTGTCTAATCGAGTCATTAAATTTATATGGCTTTTCTAATTATATCTCTCCACCTCTAAATTTGGTTAACTGGAGCCCATGCTTTCAACGAAGTGGGCGAGAGAATATTGAAATATTGTAACGCTCTGGTTTTTTTCTCTAGTATTAAGCGTGGAAATATTTCATTGGGGAAGCAAAAAATGAACGCCTGAAAAGATTTGAACTTAAGAGTTCCTGCTCTGGTATCATGTTAGGTTTCGTGGGATCACTGCCAACTATTCTAAAAATTTAAACTGTTAAACAAATACGTAATTTAATAATTAAATATTCTAACAGTAATAAAGATTTCCTAGTAATTCTATAAGGAATTATCGATTAAAAACCTCTTTAAGTCTCTTTATTGGCAAATGAGATTTGACTTGCGAAACGGAGCTCTATCATCAGGCAAGTAATTTGTCGTGAGGCATTGACAAAGCGTATTCTTGTCATGCTCATTTACAGTTACCACTATAAAAAAAAAAAAGCGCAATTAAAGAATTTTTAGGACAGTCCAATTCGTCAATCGTCAAATGGACAAGTTGTTAGCTCCGTGACCATGCGGTGATGTACACGTGGCAATGCACAGCCCGCGCGGGACGTTTCAAGAAGATTTTTTCCGTGGAAATATTTCTGTGGTGCTAAGGATTTTCCACACCCAAGTGACCCCACCATGGAAATTCTATGTCTCAATAATGTCATCTTAAGAAGACCTTGGCTTCGACCTTCTAGAGAAGACCCGTGTTGATCACTTGACGCTACAGAAGGGCTTTATAAGTGGAAGCACCCCCTCCACCGCCACCAACAAACTCACTCGCATCCTAAATTGCAATATGGGGTGGCATCAGATCCTCCTCCGCCTCCTCCTCTGTTTCCACTTTTTCATGCATGCCTCCCTCCGCTTTGCTTCGCCCCTTTGCCCTCCTGACCAACGCGATGCCTTGCTCCATTTTAAGAATTCCTTCATGCTTGATAGCGTGGAATCGAACTCTTGTGATCGGGATGGCCATGTCGTGTCTTATCCGAAGACAAACTCATGGAATAAGGGCGTGGACTGCTGCTCGTGGGACGGCATCACTTGTGACGGTGTCACTGGCAACGTCATCGGTCTCAATCTTACTTGCAGTCGGCTTCATGGCGCTCTCCATTCCAATAGCTCCCTCCTTCTCCTTCGCCATCTTCGGAGCCTCAACCTTTTCGGCAATAACTTTGTTGGCTCACACATTTCGCCTAATTTGAGTACTTTTGCATCATTGACTCATCTTAATCTCTCTAGTTCAGCTTTTTCAGGCACCGTTCCCAGTGAAATCTCTCACCTTTCCAAGTTGGTGTCACTTGATCTCTCTCACAATTATAATTTCGACTTCTACTCGTTCTCATTCTCTACACTCAGGTTGGAAAACTCGATCCTCACTGTGCTTGTTCGGAATCTAATGACGTTGAGAAAGCTTGTTCTTGATGAAGTAAACATGTCCATGGTTTCACCAAAGCCCTTTGCGAACTTATCTTCTTCTTTGACTTATTTGAGCACTAGTGGTTGTTCCTTAGGGGGGATATTTCCGGATACTGTTTTTCGATTACCGAGCCTCACTTATCTCGATTTAAGTAACAATTATAAAGTGTCTGGGATTCTTCCCAAATCCAATTGGACCTGTCCTCTCGAGTCTTTGTCTCTCTGGATTACGAGCTTTTCGGGAGAAATACCCGATTCAATTGGTACCTTGAAGAGTATAACAATTTTAGACCTTACAGAGTGCAAATTCACAGGACATGTCCCATCATCATTGGTAGATCTCAAGCAACTCCAAGTCCTATGTATTGGTGGGAATAGCTTCACCGGTGAGATCCCCTCTATGATTTACCAGTTGAGTTCACTCATAAGTTTGGATTTGTCTAACAATAGTCTCTCTGGGAATATGCCGTCATGTTTTGGTAATATAACCAATCTCCAGTATCTACACTTGAGCAGCAATAAATTACAAGGACCGTTACCGCGTTCCCTCGTCAAATGTGTGAACTTATCGACACTAGCTCTCGGTGGCAATGAGTTCAGTGATTTCTTCCCACATTGGCTGGATGCACCACAACTCAATTACCTTGATTTGCAATCGAACAAATTTCATGGTAGGATCAACCTTACTGCCTTTAAACTCTCTTTCCCCACTCTTGCAATTCTACTTATTTCCAACAACAATTTCACTGGACGGTGGCCCACAGAGTTTTTCTCAAACACCTCATTATCTGTAATAGATTTGTCCAACAATAATTTCACTGGACGGTGGTCCACAGAGGTTTTCTCAAACACCTCATTATATATAATGGATTTGTCCAACAACAAGTTTGGAGGGCCAATTCCACTTCCATCTCCCGTCACATTTTATTATGCTATTGCAAGTAGTAAGTTAGCTGGAAAGATCCCATCTTTGATATGCAATTTCGCAAGGCTTGAGATCATTGACTTGTCCAACAACAACTTAACAGGTAGCTTGCCTCGATGCTTAACAAATTTTAGCACCGATCTATCAGTTTTGAACTTGCGAATGAATTACCTCGAGGGCGCAATTCCTCGATCTTTTTCTTCGATAAGTAGCTTGACGACTCTTGACTTGAGTCGAAATCGATTTGAAGGCACAATACCTCGGTCGCTTGTTAAATGTTGGCAACTTGAAGTTTTGGATCTCAGTGATAATCGGATAGAGGATACATTTCCAAGATGGTTGGGAACACTCCCAGAACTAAAAGTTCTCGTTTTGAGGTCCAACAATCTGAGGGATCTTTTGGATATTCCTAGAGGAGCTCACATCTTTCCCAAGTTACACATTTTGGACCTCTCCAACAACAACTTTAGCGGTCCTTTGCCAGCCAACTTGATAATGATCCTTAGAGCCATTGTGAATGGCGAAAATGCGCAGGACGAATCATTATATATGACACGGTTTCTTGGGGAATGGAATACGAGTACCCTATCGAGGTTATATGAAAATTCCGTGACCTTGACCATGAAAGGGCAAGAGATTGAGCTAGTGAAGATCGTAACCTTCCTCACAATTATTGACTTATCGAACAACTCTTTCCAAGGGGATATTCCCGGAGTAATTGGACATCTTCACTCTCTTGTAGGTCTCAACCTTTCTCATAACCACTTTACAGGTTCCATCCCTCCGACTTTAGGGAACTTGACTAATCTTGGATGGCTAGATCTTTCTTCGAACAAGCTTAGTGGGGCAATTCCTAGAAAATTGGGAGATTTGGCATCCCTTGGGTACTTAAACCTCTCGAACAACCAGCTCACCGGTCGAATTCCTCAAGATAAGCAATTGAGCACATTTTCAAGTGACTCGTTTAGTGGGAATCCGAGCTTATGTGGAACTCCATTGCAAAAAGCATGCCTTGGCGATGCTCAACCTCCTCCACCATCGTCCTCATCAACTTTCGACTGCGAAGGGCGTGAGAGTTGGTTCAAACATAAAACAATGTGGATAGGTTATTCATCGGGGCTCGTAATTGGGATTTCGCTAGCATACATTGCATTTGAAACGGAAAGACCAAAATGGCTTACGCGAGGTGTGAGAATGCTGGAGAGAAGAGCAGTCGAGTGGACGGAGAAACCAAAGTGGAAGGCCATCAAATTTTATGGACAATGAAATTGTTTGAGGAGTTGTCTTTGTAAACTAGCATTGTAAATTCAGTTAATAAAGATGTCTCCATGTGAGATTGAAATGGCATTTCCCTTACGAAGGCTTGTTTGCAATGTCTTCTCTCCATGTTTCTCGGTGCAATTGTATATTGGTTGAATTGAGAAGATGAATAATATGATCTGTCAACCACACGGCTTTTAAAAAACGAGAAGCAAAAACAAAAGCAACAAATGAAGCAAGTACCATTAACCTCTACAAATATCTTTTCCATTTTCCTTTGTGCGTAACGTTTGCCCGTGAAGAATTCGAAGCGAAGATTGGCGTTAACTCATGCAGTCACAGTCGTTAATAGATTAATCTGCCGAATAATTATGTCTCAAAGAATCAACACTGAAATCTGTCTGGAGGATCTACTGCTTTTCTCTATTCAAAGAATATTTCTTTGGTTGGAACGTGATTATTACTATGTTTCATTAAATCAACCTACGACATTTTTACGAGCGGTGGGTCACGTTAATAGACAAAGTTATATTAAAAGTCGAAGGTTAGCAGAATTGATCGATCTCCGTAGCGTAAGATTCTGCTACAATTAACTTACAAAACCATCTTCGGCCGTGCTCTTTCTGAGTGTGAACCAATTACCATGAATTTTCTTTCTTCTCATGCCTTCTTTGAACATAGGCCTCTTGCTGAGCCCGGTCCATCCGCAAGTTGGCTCTTGCAGCCAGTTCGCTCTAAGGCATAAATTTGCCCTAGGTTTTTTTTTTTTTTTTAAAGGTGGGACCTTATTTGCTTCTTTTCTTTTCTTTTTAATTTGGGAAGTCTCTTATTTTGCTCACATCTTTTGTCTTACTATATCTACATATAGTATGTTATTATATGAGCAGTGTTGGAATTTCTCTTGCAAATTTCGTGTTGGGCTCATCGCCTTGACGCACTTGTTTCACCTGATGGTGTGATTTTTGGTCAGCGCAGCTTATCCTTTGAGGTCGAATGTTTACTTAACAATTTCCGCATACGTAAACCTAAGATAATCAAGAGAACCAAAACTACCGTCCAAAAACTTTCAGGACGATCACTGATTCGAAAATGCTGTAATGTTTAACGGAAGGACTATTCTTTATAACGGTTATCGCGAGTGAATTAGTAATTAAAAAATCATTTTTTAAAATATGCTTATCAAACGGATATGAGCCAGTTTTGTTGGGATGGGGAGACGATGATGGGGGATGGGGAAGGGGTGGGTGTTGCTGGGCCCGATGGGGGAGGAACAGTTGGCCCTTAAAAGCAAAACCCACGCCACCACTCGATGCGACAAATCATGGCCGAAATGCACTGTACGTATCCCTTCCTTTTTCCCACATTGGAAATCATTTTTCTTTAATTTCTGGAAAAAAATTTGAAAAAAAGATAAAAGAATTAAAAAGATCTGACCGACCCGAACCTCCGATGCTTGTGTGCTGTGCACACCTTATCGTCTCTCGGTTCTCCAAGCTAATTTCAAAAAAAAAAACACAAACTTTATTTTAAGTGACAATTCAGGTCCGACCTTTTTTTTGTCCAATAAAAAGCACTAACTTTTATTCGAATCCCAAATTTGGCCCCCGTGATGTGAAATTTTCAAATTGCTCGAGTCAGATTTAAGATTTAAGTGAAAATTTATGATTTTTTATGAGACAAAAAAAAAAGTTTGGGCCAGAATTGTCGCTTAAGATAAAATTGGTTTTTTTTTTTGGAATTAGGCCTCGGTTCTCCATCAAAAGCCGAGAAATAAAAAGAAAAAAAAACAGAGAGAAAGGGAAAGAATGGGGGGTATTGCTATTGTGTGGCTGCGATTCCCCGAGATGGCGCGGGAGGATCGCGAATTCGTGGGATTTATTAAGGTTTTGAGTGCTAAGTCCTGATGGCTTTTATTTGAGTTCTGATTTGGTGAATTAGGAGTCTGGTTTTGATAATGCTTGCACGGGGATGAGAATGGCAACGTCATGTCCCTTTCTGATCCAGATTTTTGCTCCATCGAGATGTTTTTTCTTTTACACCACCATCGCTTGTCTCATGAATTTGCTTGGAATATGTCAAGAATATATAGCTTACTTTACTTTTTTTACTTTGTGTAACGAGACCGATGATGCCCTCGTGAGATAATTTTCACATACAAATGTGGATCTAGGATAAATTCATATTGGTCAACTTAAGCCTCACCTACTTAGCTATCATCTCATTTGGATGGAGGAGTCACGGAGTTCGATCCCTACCTCTAACGCTTGAAGGGTGCAGTAGGCCAGCAAAAGCTAGCAATGGCAAAAAAAATAATAAAGAAATGAGTAATGTCACCATCGACCCTTCTATGTTTACCCTAAAATGAAAATTGTCCTTCTACAATTTTTCTTCTTTTTTTTTTTCGTTCAAAAGCATTCGTCTACTACTTTTTAAAAATGTCGAGCATTCCTTAGGTTATACTTTTTCTTTCGATGGTCAATTTTTGTTGACATAAATTGTCCGGTTATTGACACGAACACAGTTATACGCATGTCGTGCTGTGACTTACTCAATTTATGTGGCACCAAATTGGCAGCTCTCCAAGCAATAGAAGAGAAAAAACAAATTGAGAGAGAGAGAGAGAGAGAGAGAGAGAGAGAGAGAGAGAGAGAGAGAGAGAGAGAGAGAGAGAGAGAGAGAGAGATGGGAGTTTCATTATGACAGCCATAGCTGCCAACTCAAACTCTAAGCTCGCGGCCCATTCATGCTCAAGCTTCGGATGCCATGGCTACTCAAGCTCGTGATCGTGGCCGCTCGATTTATGCTTGCGGTAGCCATGGCAACTTGAACCTTGAGCTCGATGCGGTCATGGCTGCAAGGTCTTTTCAAGTCACAAAATTCGAGGTCATGGCCTCTCGAGCTTCGAGCTCACGGCCACGGCCACTCAATTGGTGATTGTGAAGGGTACAAATCATAGTTTTTGCATTGTGGTGGTTGTTAAATTTTGTGAATTTTTGATTTAGTAGGATTTAAGGAAGAAGAAGAAAAAGAATATGTAGGAGAGAGAGAGCGAGAGAGAGAGAGAGAGAGTCAACATTCAAAAGAAGAAAAGAAAACACATCGGCAAATAAAAGGAAACCAAAAATCCATGCAAGAAAATAGTTACTGGCGTTAGCGCCAAGTCAGTAAATTCCACCGCTGGACCCAAACAAGATCGATGGCACTTTTCTAAAGTGAGGGATGGTTTTGAAGCAAAAAAGGTAGAAATGATGACCAACAGTGACTTATCCATTCTATTGGCACTTTTTCGGCCTGTTCTAATGCATGTGAAGTAAACCCGTGATTTGAATTGATCAGAGACCGAAACTAGAAAACAAGCATCAAACCATCAACTTTCTCAATGCCTCGGCCATGGTAAACAAAATCGCACATGCAACTATCACAGTGCCACTGCCGCCGGAGTGATAGACAACCAAAACAATCAGCCCCTTCGAGGAGCTACCAACGAATGAGCTCACAATATCGAAAACCTTCGAACCCAACCCTCTACACCTGAACCCCAGCAAGCTCGACCCAGTTCTTGGACTACCACCAAATTCGATGTCAGCGGTTCCTCTTGGACCTCCTCCTCAACATGGATAGCAAAAATGAAGACAAAAATGAAGAAGAAGAGGATTACAACGATAACGAAGTGAGGAATTACAATCAAGAGTAGAGTAAATGGAAGGACAGAGGCAAAATTGAAGATGGGCTTTCTGTTCTTCGCAGGTCCAGAGTGGACATGTACTGTCAGTGTGAGCCTCGGTCCCGACGCGTTCCAAGCATGGGGCTCTGGCACGAGCGGCAGAGGAGATTCCTCAAGTGCTTGACGACAAGAAAGTTCGTGCCATGAACTCTGGAATCGCAATCTCAGCACGGGTTTGCTTGGTCCAACACACAGTACATGGTCGCGAGACTTTTGCAGAGTTCGCATGGCTTCCTCTCCTTTATGTCTCTCTCTTCGGCTCGCTTGCTCGTTTCGGTTTCAGTGAAGAAGAAGAAGATGGCCACAAGTAGCAAGAGTGAGCCCAGTAATGTTGTAACATAAAGACTACGACTTCCGTCACACCGTGTCTTTTCTTTCCGTTTTCTCGCAAGTAAAATACTTGACAAGCACTTTTTTTACAAATTAATCGTCGTCAAGTAACGGAAAGATTCATTTCCCGGAAGACTTTTCCATGGAAAATTCTATGGCACTAAGAATTTTCCACACCCAATTGAACCCGCCAAGACTCTTTCCCTAGGAAGTTCTGTGACCCCGATAATTTCATTTTAAGAAGACCTTGACTTTTTTTTTTGGTAGACCTTGACTTTGACCTTTAAGAGAAGGCTCGTGTCGATCTCTCCACACTATAGAAGGGCTATATAAGTGGAAGCACTCTCCTCTACCACCAATAAACTCACTCGCATGCTAATTTGCATAATGGAGTGCCATCTGATTCTTCTCCTCTGTTTTCACTTTTTCTTACATTCTTCCCTCGGCTTTGCTTCACCCCTTTGCCCTCCTGACCAACGTGATGCCTTGCTCCATTTTAAGAATTCCTTCGTGCTTGATAGCATGGCGTCGTACTCTTGTAGTTGGTATTACCCTGCCCCGTCTTATCGAGTGATAAACCATGTCAAGTCTTATCCAAAGACAAACACATGGAACAAGGGCGTGAATTGCTGCTCATGTGATGGTGTCACTTGTGATGGTGTCACCGGCAACATCATCAGTCTCGATCTTGCTTGCAGTTGGCTTCGTGGTACTCTCCATTCCAATAGCTCCCTCATTCTCCTTCGCCATCTTCGGAGCCTCAACCTTTCTGGTAATAACTTTGTTGGCTCACACATTTTATCTAATCTGAGTGCTTTTGCAACATTAACTCATCTGAATCTCTCTAGTTCAGCCTTTTCGGGTTCCATTCCCAATGAAATCTCTCGCCTTTCTAAGTTGGTGTCACTTGATCTCTCTCACAATAAATTTTTCGACAGATACATGCTCCGTTATCTCAGGTTGGAAAATTTGATCTTCACAATGCTTGTTCAGAATCTAACAGCATTGAGAAAGCTTGCTCTTGATGTAGTTGACATGTCCATGGTTTCACCAAAGTCCTTTGCGAATTTGTCTTCCTCTTTGACATATTTAAGCTTTTATTCTTGTTCCCTAAAGGGGATATTTCCAGATACTGTTTTTCGATTGCCAAACCTTACTACTCTCGATATAAGTGTCAATGACAACATGTCCGGGATTCTTCCCAAATCTAATTGGACTTGTCCTCTCAAGTCTTTGTCTCTTTGGTCTACGAGCTTTTCAGGAGAAATACCCGATTCAATTGGTAACCTGAAGAGTTTAACAGTTTTAGATCTTCAAACGTGCAAATTCACAGGACACATCCCATCATCATTGACAAATCTTAAGCAACTCCAAGTTCTATATATTGATGAGAATAGCTTTAGCGGGGTTGTAGAGTTTGATATTTTTGCAAAGCTTAAAAATCTTCGAAAGCTTGCAATTTCTCAAGAGCTAAATATTGATACACTGAATTGTACATTCCCAAAGCTTGAAGTGTTGGGGTTGCCTTTTTGCAACTTGACCAAGTTTCCCTATTTCTTGAATTCCTTGACAAGATTAACACGCTTAGACCTCTCTTTCAATAGGATTATTGGGGAGATCCCAAAGTGGTTTTGAGGAATAAGTCAAGATACATTGGGTGTCTTAGATCTTTCTCATAACCTTTTGGAGGGAAGTATACAACAATTTCATTGGAAGAGATTGTGGTATCTTAGCCTTCATAACAACTCATTCCATGGACCACTCCCCATTCCTCCACCTTTTACTTCTTACTTTTATGCCTCAGATAATCGTTTCACCGGCGAGATCCCCTTTTCCATTGCCAATTGAGTTCACTCGAATATTTACATTTGTCTAACAATAATTTCTCGGGGAATATGCCACCATGTCTTGGTAATATAACCAATCTCTCCGGTCTAAACTTGAGCAACAATAAATTACAAGGACCATTACCACGCTCCCTAGTCAGATGCGTGAGCTTATATTCACTGGATCTCAGTCACAACGAGTTCAATGATATCTTTCCATTGTAGTTGGAAGCACCTCAACTAAGTTACCTTGACTTGCAATCGAACAAATTTCATGGTAGTATCAACCTTACTGCATTTGGACTCTCCTTCCCTGTTCTTGAATATTTGATAATTTCCTACAACAAATTTACTGGACAATGGCCCACACAGGGTTTCTCAAACACATCATTGGCTATAATAGGTTTGTCCAACAACAAGTTTGGAGGGCCAATTCCACTTCCATCTCCTATCACATTTTTTTATTCCATTGCAAATAATAAGATAACAGGAAAGATCCCCTCTTTGATATGCAATGCCACCGAGCTTGAGATCATTGACTTGTCCATCAACAGCTTAACGGGTAGCTTGCCTCGGTGTTTAACAAATTTTAGCACCAAACTCTCTGTTTTGAATTTGCGAATGAATTACCTCGAGGGCACAATTCCTCAATCGTTTTCTTCGAGAAGTAGCTTGATGACTTTTGACTTGAGTCGAAATCGGTTTGAAGGCACATTGCCCCGGTCCTCTGTCAAATGTAGACATCTTGAAGTTCTGGATCTCAGTGACAATAAGATAGATGATACATTTCCAAGATGGTTAGGAACACTCCCAGAACTAAAAGTTCTTGTTTTGAGGTCTAACAATTTGAAGGATCTTTTGGAATTTCCAAGGGGAGCTCACCTCTTTCCCAAGCTACACATTTTGGAACTCTCCAACAACAATTTGAGCGGTCCTTTGCCAGCCAACTTGGTGATGAACCTTAAAGGCATGATGAATGGCGAAAATGGGCAAGACAAATCATTGTATATGACACGATATTTCAATATGATGCCATACGAAAACTCTGTGACTGTGATGATGAAAGGGTTCGAGATTGAGCTAGTCAGGATCTTAACCTTCCTCACAATTATTGACTTGTCACACAACTCTTTCCAAGGGGATATCCCGGGAGTTATTGGACATCTTCACTCTCTCATAGGGCTGAATCTCTCTCATAACCACTTAACAGGTTCCAGCCCTCCGACTTTGGAGAACTTGACTGATCTTGGATGGCTTGATCTTTCTTCTAACAAGCTTAGTGGGGTGATTCCTAGAAAATTGGGAGATTTGGCATCCCTTGGGTACTTAAACCTCTCGGAGAACCAACTTAGCAGTCGAATTCCACAAGATAAGCAATTGAGCACATTTTCAAGCAACTTGTTCAGTGAGAATCCAGGCTTATGTGGAACTCCATTGCCAAAAGCATGCCCTAGCAATGCTCAACCTCCTCCACCATCGTCCTCATCAACTTTCGACCGCGAGGGGCATGAGAGTTGGTTCAAACTGAAAGCAATGTGGATGGGTTATGCATCGGGAATTGTAATTGGTATTTCAATAGCATACATTGCATTTGAAACAGGAAGGCCCAAATGGCTTGCGCGAGGTGTGAGGATGCTAGAGAGGAGAGTAGCCGAGTGGATGGAGAAGCCAAAGCGGAAGGCCATCAAATTTCATGGACAATGAAATTGTTCGAGGAGTCTGTCTCTGTAAACTAGCAATGTAAATCCAATTAATAAAGATGTCACCAGACTAGCTTGAAATGTCAATTCCCTTATGAAGGCTTTGTTTCTAATGTCTCGCATTCTTGTTTCTCGGTGCAATTATATATCGTTCGAATTGAGAAGATGAATAATATGATCTGTCAAGCACAAGAATTTGAATAAAGAAGAAGCAAAAAACAGAAAAAAAAAAATGAAGCAAGTGCCATTAACCTCTATAGATATCTTTTCCACCTTCCCGTGCGTGTAACTTTTATTTGTCCATCAATAATTAAAAGTGAAGAGTGTCCTTGACCAATTCAGCCAAAGTATTTAAAATATTAATCTGCTGAAGAATTATGTCCCGAGGAATCAACATTCAAATCCATGTATAAGATCTGCTGTTTTTCTCTATTCAAAGAACAAATCGTTGGGCGGAACGTACTTAATATTATGTTTCATTAAATCAACTCGAGACATATGTACGAGCGGTGGGTCACGTCAATATACGAAGTTATATGAACAGTCGAAGGTCAGCAGAATTCATCAATCTCCATAGCACAAGTTGGTCTTCAAAACAAGTAACTAACAGAAACATCTTCGGCCGTGCTCTTTCTGAGTGGAAATCAATTACCATGAATTTTCTTTCTTCTCATGCCTTCTTTGAACATAGGCCTCTTGCTGAACCCGGTCCATCCGCAAGTTGGGTCTTCTAGCCAGTTCGCTCTAAGGCATTACTTTCCTCTAGGTTTATTTTTTTTAAAGGTGGGACCATATTTTTTCTTTTTCTTGTTTTTAATTTGCGAAGTCTCTTATTTTGCTCACGTCATTTGTCTTGCTATATAATATAGTAGTATTATGAGCAGTGTTGGAATTTCTCTTGCGAATTTCGTTTCAGGCTTGCAGCCTTGATGCACGCGTTCGATCTAACGGAGGGATTTTTGACCGGCTTAGCTTATCCTTTGAGGTCGAATGTTCACTAAATAAATTTTGCACCGAAATTATAATTTACAAAAAGTACTCGCGCCCGAGAACTTCCAAGGCAATCACTGATTCGAAAAATACCGTAATGTTCAACGGAAGGAGTAGTCTTTATACTGTGTGTCGCAAGTGAATTAGTAATTTTAAAAAAATTATTGATTAAATATGGTTAATAAACGGATACGAACCAGTTTTTGTTGTGATGGGAGACAATGATGGAGGATGAGGAAGGGGGAGGGGGTGGTGCTGGCCCCGATGGGGAGGAGGAACACCCACCGCTCGATGCGACGAATCGTGGCCGAACTGCAACGGATCCTCTTCCTTTTTCCCGTATTGAACTTTTTAATTTCTGGAAAAATGAAAAAAAAGATAGAGAATTAAAAAGATCTGACCGACCCGAACCTCTCCAACGCTGTGGCGTGCTGTGTGGACACCTTACCGGTCCCGCGGTTCTCCATAAAATTGTCTTTTTTTTTTTTTCAATAGCGTTCCTCTACTTTTTAAAAATACCGAGAATTCCTTAGGTTATACTTTTTCTTTTTGATGGTCGATTTTTGCTGACATAGGTTGTCCGATTAGTGACGCGAACACGAATTTACGCATTTTGTGCCGTGACTCGCTCAATGTGCACGAACACACCACAATGGAGCCACGTCAAGGAACATAAAAAAAAAATCAAATTGAGAAAGAGAGATGGAAGTCCATTACAACAGCCATAGCCGCCAACTCAAGCTTTAATCTCGCAGCCACCAGGGCCATTCATGTTCAAGCACGCGGATGCCATGGCTGCCGCGAGCTCACATCCATGACAACTTGAACTTTGAGCTTGATGCGGTTATGGCTACAAGATCTTTTCAAGCCACAAAATTCGAGCTCATGGCCACTCGAGCTTCAAGCTCATAGCCATGGCCACTGAATTGGTGTGCTTATAGACTTTTGTGATTTTTTGATTTAGTTGGATTTAAAGAAGAAGAATCTGTAGGAGAGAGAGAGAGAACATTTGAAAAAAAAAAAAACCACATCTACAAATAAAGGGAAACAAAAATTCATGCTAGAAAATAGTTAAAAGCGTTAACGTCAAGTCGGCAAATTCCATCGACGGACAGACCCGAATAAGTACAATTGAAATTGATGGCACTTTTTTTAAAGTAAGGGATGGTTCTGAAGCCAAAAAGGTGCGCTAACAATTTTGTTTTTGGACAAAAGTAAAAGGACCAACGGTGAGTTACCCTTCTATTGGCACTTTTTCAACCCGTTCTAATGCATATAAAGTAAATCCATTAGAGATCTACACGATTTGAATTGATCAATGACCACAACTAGACCATGAGCATTAAACCATCCACTTTCTCGGTGCTAGCCATAGCAAACGAAATCGCGCATGCAACTACCACGGCACCACTGCTGCCGTAGTTTAAGTTGTGGAATCACTGTCAACTATTTAAAAAGTTTAAGTTGTTAGACAAATACGTAGTTTAATATTTGAATATTCCAACAGTAATGAAGATTTCCTAGTAATCCTATAAAAAGCGTACTAGCTTTGTCATAGGGAATTACTAATTATCGATTAGAAACCTCCCTGAGTCTCTTTATTGGCAAATGATATTTGACTACACTCTCATCAGGTAAATACTTCGTCGTGAGGCATCGACAAAGCCTATTCTTTTTAGCTCATTTACAAATACGGCAAAACGAATGTACGACCGTCAAATTTGTCAATTGTCAAAAAGAGTTGTGAGTGCCGTAACAATGGGGTGTTGTGCACGCGGTGAGACCTAACACGCACGAGACGTTTCAAGAAGATTTTTCTTGGACATTTCTATGGCACTAAGAATTTTCCACAACCAAGTGACGCTACCATGGAAATTATGTGTCCCAGTAATGTCATTTTAAGAGGACTTTGACTTTGACCTTCTACAGAAGGCTCGTGCTCACCACTTCACAATATGGATTGGGCTTTATACGTGGAAGCACCCTCCACCACCAATACACTCACCCACATTCTAGAAAGACCGATGGTATTTTACACGTTCTGATGGCACTTTTTCAGACGGTTTTGATGCGTGTAAAGTAAATTCATTAGAAACTCACGCGACTTGAAAAGTGAAAAAAGTGGAATTGAAATAATGTTATATAATGTATTGTCAAATAGCATAAAAAAAATAAAAATAGTGTGCCTTGCCTATAAGGGCCATGCAAATCCTTTGGACCTTTAATTTGTCCAATCGGATCATTAAATTTATATGGCTTTCCTAATTAAATATTTTCGACTCTAAATTTGATTAACCATATGTGTTCAATGAAGTGGGCATCTGACATGAAAAAGGTCATTTGCCGTTATGAACCATCAATTGATCGAAGACCACAAGTAAACCACTAGCAACAAGATTTTTCACTATGATCATTAGGTCCTAGCTTTCCACGTCAAACTCTTACTAGCTTCCATGGATATATCGGCTCCGATGAAATTAATACTTGGAAGAACTTAGTGTATTTCCCCTATTAAAGTCAACAGCATCACGTAGAAGGATGATTTCTTGGTCTAAAAGCTTAATTATAGAGTCCCCGTCACGGATAAAGCTAGACGAACATAGTTCACGAGCAACCATTGTGTCTCCAACCTTTAAAATGATTGCGGTCATGCCTAATTAGAATATCGCGAACTCCCCAAGTCATGATTGACTACAAAATCGGCACCAAACAACCTCCCTGCAAAATCTTTATGAAAGAGAGCTCTCACGTCCAATCTTCTTCCCATTTTATCATTTCAAAAAATCAAAACAAACAAAAGACGTACTTCGAGAATGAGATAACGCTATTTACATATATTGCCGATCTACGAATACCCCCCATTCGCTTAATTATTCTTTGAGTCGATCCATTGTTTCGGCACATTTTCCATCACGTAAGAGGAAAAAATGCCGAATTTCGTGTTTACACAATCAAAACATAAATGTTCAAATTAGTGCCCCCACCACCCTCTCAGACCCTATTCTATACACATTTAAAAAATTTATAGTAATCCGAACACCTAGTATAACGGGCATATTAGGTCATGTAAGTAACTAATCACGTGAAGTCGTGAAAAAATTTCAACTGGTTTTCAAAGTTATAATTTTATTGTAATGAAGATTTTCTAGTAATCCTATCAAGCGCTTACTGGCTTTGTCATAAGGAATTACTAATTATTGATTAGAAACCTCCGTAAGTGTCTTTACTGGCGAATGAGATTTGACTAGCGAAACGGAGCTCTGCCATCAGGTATATACTTCATCGTGAGGCATCGACAAAGCGTTATTCTATTCAGCTCATTTACAAATATCACCACAAAAAAAAAAAACGCAATTAAATAATTTTTACGACAGTCAACTTCGTCAATTGTCAAGTGGACAAGTTGTTAGCACCGTGACCATGAGGTGCTGTACACGTGGCAATGCATAGCCCGCGCAAGACGTTTCAAGAAGATTTTTTGCATGGATATATTTCTATGGTGCTAAGAATTTTCCACACCCAAGTGACCCGCACCATGGAAATTCTGTGTCCCGATAATGTCATCTGAAGGCGACTTTGACCTCGACCTTCTAGAGAAGACCCGTGTTCATCACTTAACAGTACAAAAGGGCTTTATAAGTGGAAGCACCCTCCGCCACCAATAAACTCACTCGCATCCTAAATTGCAATATGGGGTGGCATCAGATCCACCTTCGCCACCTCCTCTGTTTCCACTTTTTCTCACAGGCCTCCCTTCAATTTCCGATTTATCAACTACCCTTAATTATTCTTTGAGTCGATTCATTGTTTCGGCACCTTTTTCATCACGTACAAGGACTATATGCCGAATTTTGTGTTCGCACAATCAAAAAGTAAATATTCAACTTAGTGTCCCAACACACTCTAGGACCTTATTGTATACACGTTCTAAACAATTCACAATAATCTGAACACCTAGCTTTTTTTGGTCGAAATCCGAACACCTAGTATAGCGAGCATATTAGGTCGTGTAGGTACTAATCATGTGAAAACCTGAAAAACTTAGTAGCTTTGTCATAAGTAATTACTAATTGTCGATTAGAAATCTCCCTAAGTCTTTTTACTGGCAAATGAGATTTGACTTGTGAAACAGAGCTATGTCATCAGGTAAGTAACTTGTCGTGAGGCATCGACAAAGTGGTATTCTTTTTCAGCTCATTTACAGATACCACCAAAAAAAAAAACGCAATTACAGAAGTTTTAGGACAGTCGAATTCATCAATTGTCAAGTGGACAAGTTGTTGGCGCCATGACCATGGGGTGCTGTACACGTGGCAATGCACAGCCCGCGCGGGACGTTTCTTGAAGATTTTTTCCATGGAAATATTTCTGTGGCGCTAAGGATTTTCCACACCAAGTGACCCCACCATGGAAATTCTATGTCCCAATAATGTCATCTTAAGAAGACTTTGGCTTCGACCTTCTAGAGAAGACCCGTGTTGATCACTTCACGCAACAGAAGGGCTTTATAAGTGGAAGCACCCCCTCCACCGCCACCAATAAACTCACTCGCATCCTAAATTGCAATATGGGGTGGCATCAGATCCTCCTCCGCCTCCTCCTCTGTTTCCACTTTTTCATGCATGCCTCCCTCCGCTTTGCTTCGTCCCTTTGCCCTCCTGACCAACGCGATGCCTTGCTCCATTTTAAGAGTTCCTTCGTGCTTGATAGCATGGCATCGGAAAATTGTGATTGGTATGGCCCTGTCGTGTCTTATCCGAAGACAAACTCATGGAACAAGGGCGTGGACTGCTGCTCGTGGGACGGCGTCACTTGTGACGGTGTCACCGGCAACGTCATCGGTCTCGATCTTAGTTGCAGTCGGCTTCGTGGCGCTCTCCATTCCAATAGCTCCCTCCATCTCCTTCGCCATCTTCGGAGCCTCAATCTTTCCAGCAATGACTTTGTTGGCTCACACATTTTATTTAATTTGAGTGCTTTTGCAACATTGACTCATCTGAATCTCTCTTATTCAGTTTTTTTGGGCCCCGTTCCCGATGAAATCTCTCGCCTCTCTAAGTTGGTGTCACTTGATCTCTCTAACAATTTTAATTTTGACACATACTCGTTCTCTACTCTCAGGTTGGAAAATTCGATCTTCACAATGCTTGTTCGGAATCTAACAACATTGAGAAAGCTTGTTCTCGATGGAGTAGACATGTTCATGGTTTCACCAAAGTCCTTTGCGAACTTGTCATCTTCTTTGACATATTTGAGCGCTGATTCTTGTTCCTTAGGGGGGATATTTCCAGATTCTATTTTTCGATTACCGAGCCTTAGATTTCTCGATATGAGTTGCAATGAAAACATGTCTGGAACTCTTCCCAAATCCAATTGGACCAGTCCTCTCGAGTCTTTGTCTCTCCGGTCTACGAGCTTTTTGGGAGAAATACCCAATTCAATTGGTACCTTGAAGAGTTTAACATTTTTAGATCTTGCAATGTGCAAATTCACAGGACACGTCCCATCATCATTAGCAGATCTCCAGCAACTCCAAGTTCTGGATATTGCCTGGAATAGCTTTAGCGGGGTTGTAGAGTTTGAAGTCTTTTCAAAGCTTAAAAATATCCAAGAGCTTAGTGTTTCTCAAGAACTAAATCTAATCTACGATACACTGAAGTATACATTCCCGAAGCTTGAAGTGTTGAGGTTGTCCTTTTGCAACTTGACCAAGTTTCCCTATTTCCTGAATTCATTGAAAAGATTAACATACTTATACCTCTCTTCAAATAGGATTAGTGGGGAGATCCCGAGGTGGTTTTGGGGAGTAAGCCATGATACATTGGAACGGTTGGATCTTTCTTTTAACCTTTTGGGGGGAGTTATACAACAATTGCCCTGGAAGAGATTATCAATTATTAACATTGACAACAACTCATTCCAAGGACCACTCCCCATCCTTCCTCTTTCCACTTCCGTGTTTTATGCCTTCAACAATGGTTTCACCGGTGAGATCCCCTCTACGATTTGCCAGTTGAGTTCACTCCAACGTTTGGATTTGTCTCACAATAATCTCTCTGGGAATATGCCACCATGTTTTGGTAATATAACCAATCTCCGGTCTCTACACTTGAGCAGCAATAGATTACAAGGACCATTACCGCGTTCCCTGGTCAAATGCGTGAACTTATCGACACTAGTTCTCAGTGGCAATGAGTTCAGTGATTTCTTCCCACATTGGCTAGAAGCACCGCAACTCTATTACCTTGATTTGCAATCGAACAAATTTCATGGTAGGATCAACCTCACTGCCTTTGGACTCTCTTTCCTTGCTCTTGAAGTTCTTCTTATTTCCAACAACAATTTCACTGGACAGTGGTCCACAGAGTTTTTCTCAAACACCTCATTATATATAATAGATTTGTCCAACAACAATTTCACTGGACGGTGGTCCATAGAGGTTTTCTCAAACACCTCACTATATATAATAGATTTGTCCAACAACAAGTTTGGAGGGCCAATTCCACTTCCATCTCCCATCACATTTTATTATGCTATTGCAAGTAATAAGTTGGCTGGAAAGATCCCCTCTTTGATATGCAATTTCACAAGGCTTGAGATCATTGACTTGTCCAACAACAACTTAACAGGTAGTTTGCCTCGGTGCTTAACAAATTTTAGCACCAATCTATCAGTTTTGAACTTGCGAATGAATTACCTCGAGGGCGCAATTCCTCGATCTTTTTCTTCGAGAAGTAGCTTGATGACTCTTGACTTGAGTCAAAATCGATTTGAAGGCATGTTGCCTCGGTCGCTTGTTAAATGTTGGCATCTTGAAGTTTTGGATCTCAGTGATAATCGGATAGAGGATACATTTCCAAGATGGTTGGGAGCACTCCCAGAACTAAAAGTTCTCGTTTTGAGGTCAAACAATTTGAGGGATCTTTTGGATATTCCTAGAGGAGCTCACATCTTTCCCAAGTTACACATTTTGGACCTCTCCAACAACAACTTTAGAGGTTCTTTGCCAACCAACTTGATAATGATCCTTAGAGCCAGTGTGAATGGCGAAAATGTGCGGGACGAATCATTATATATGACACGGTATCTTGGGGGACGGAGTGCTCCATCGAGGTTATATGAAAATTCCGTGACCCTGACCATAAAAGGGCAAGAGATTGAGCTAGTGAAGATCGTAACCTTCCTCACAATTATTGACTTGTCGAACAACTCTTTCCAAGGGGATATCCCGGGAGTAATTGGACATCTTCACTCTCTCGTAGGTCTCAACCTTTCTCATAACCACTTTACAGGTTCCATCCCTCCGACTTTAGGGAACTTGACTAATCTTGGATGGCTAGATCTTTCTTCGAACAAGCTTAGTGGGATAATTCCTAGAAAATTGGGAGATTTGGCATCCCTTGGGTACTTAAACCTCTCGAACAACCAGCTCACCGGTCAAATTCCTCAAGATAAGCAATTGAGCACATTTTCAAGCGACTCGTTTAGTGGGAATCCGAGCTTATGTGGAACTCCATTGCCAAAAGCATGCCTTGGCGATGCTCAACCTCCTCCACCATCGTCCTCATCAACTTTCGACCATGAAGGGCATGAGAGTTGGTTCAAACAGAAAACAATGTGGATAGGTTATTCATCGGGGATAGTAATTGGGATTTCGCTAGCATACATTGCATTTGAAATGGAAAAACCAAAATGGCTCATGCGAGGTGTGAGAATGCTAGAGAGAAGAGCAGTCGAGTGGACGGAGAAACCAAAGTGGAAGGCCATCAAATTTTATGGACAATGAAATTGTTTGAGGAGTTGTCTTTATAAACTAGCATTGTAAATTCAGTTAATAAAGATGTCTCCATGTGAGATTGAAATGGCATTTCCCTTACGAAGGCTTGTTTGCAATGTCTTATCTCCTTGTTTCTCGGTGCAATTGTACATTGGTTGAATTGAGAAGATGAATAATATGATCTGTCAAGCACACGGCTTTTAAAAAACGAGAAGCAAAAACAAAAGCAACAAATGAAGCAAGTGACATTAACCTCTACAAGTATCTTTTCCATTTTCCTTTGTGCGTAACGTTTGCCCGTGAAGAATTAGAAGTGAAGACTGGCGTTAGCTCATACAGTCACAGTCGTTAATAGATTAATCTGCCGAAGAATTATGTCCCGAAGAATCAATACTGAAATCTGTCTGTAGGATCTACTGCTTTTCTCTACTCAAAGAATATTTCTTTGGTTGGAACATGATTATTACTATGTTTTATTAAATCAACTTACGACATTTTTACGAGCGGTGGGTAACGTTAATAGACGAAGTTATATTAAAAGTCGAAGGTTAGTAGAATTGATCGATCTCCGTAGCGTAAGATTCTGCTTCAATTAACTTACAAAACCCTCTTCGGCCGTGCTCTTTTTGAGCGTGAACCAATTACCATGAATTTTCTTTCTTCTCATGCCTTCTTTGAACATAGGCCTCTTGCTGAGCCCGGTCCATCCGCAAGTTGGGTCTTGCAGCCAGTTCGCTCTAAGGCATAAATTTGCCCTAGGTTTTTTTTTTTTTTTAAAGGTGGGACCTTATTTGCTTCTTTTTCTTTTCTTTTTAATTTGGGAAGTCTCTTATTTTGCTCACATCTTTTGTCTTACTATATCTACATGTAGTATGTTATTATATGAGCAGTGTTGGAATTTCTCTTGCAAATTTCGTGTTGGGCTCATCGCCTTGACGCACTTGTTCCACCTGATGGAGTGATTTTTGGTCAGCTCAGCTTATCCTTTGAGGTCGAATGTTTACTTAACGATTTCTGTATACGTAAACCTAAGATAATCAAGAGAATCAAAATTACCGTCAAAAGACTTTCAAGACGATCACTGATTCGAAAATGCTGTAATGTTTAACGGAATGATTATTCTTTATAATGGTTATCGCGAGTGAATTAGTAATTAAAAAATCAATTTTTAAAATATGCTTATTAAACGGATATGAAGCAGTGTTCTTGGGATGGGGAGACGATGATGGGGGATGAGGAAGGGGTGGGTGGTGCTGGGCCCGATGGGGGAGGAACAGTTGGCCCTTAAAAGCAAAACCCACACCACCACTCGATGCGACAAATCATGGCCGAAATGCACTGTATGTATCCCTTGCTTTTTCCCACATTGGAAATCATTTTTCTTTAATTTCTGGAAAAAAAATTGGAAAAAAGATAAAAGAATTTAAAAGATCTGACCGACCCGAACCTCCGATGCTTGCGTGCTGTGCACACCTTATCGTCCCTCGGTTCTCCGAGCTAATTTCAAAAAAAAAAATACAAACTTTATTTTGAATGACAATTCAGGTCCGACCTTTTTTTTGTTCAATAAAAAGCACTAACTTTTATTCGAATCCCAAATTTAGCTCCCATGATGTGAAATTTTCAAATTGCTCAAGTCAGATTTAAGATTTAAGTGAAAGTTTGTGATTTTTTATTAGACAAAAAAAGGTTCGGGCCAGAATTGTCGCTTAAGATAAAATTGGTGTTTTTTTTGGAATTAGGCCTCGATTCTCCATCAAAAGCCGAGAAATAAAAAGGAAAAAAAAAGAGAAAGGGAAAGAATGGGGGGTATTGCTATTGTGTGGCTGCGAATCGCCGAGATGGCGCGGGAGGATCGCGAATTCGTGGGATTTGTTAGGGTTTTGAGTGCTAAGTCCTGATGGCTTTTATCTGAGTTCTGATTTGGTGAATTAGGAGGCTGGTTTTGGTAATGTTTGCACGGGGATGAGAATGGCAATGTCATGTCCCTTTCTGATCCAGATTTTTGCTCCATCGAGATGTGTTTTCTTTTACACCACCATCGCTTGTCTCATGAATTTGCTTGGAATTTGTCAAGAATATATAGCTTACTTTACTTTTTTTACTTTGTGTAACGAGACCGACGATGCTCTCGTGAGATAATTTTCACATACAAATGTGGATCTAGGATAAATTCATATCGGTCGACTTAAGCCTCACCTAATTAGCTATCATCTCGTTTGGATGGGGGAGTTATGGAGCTTGATCCCTACCTCTTACGCCTGAAGGGTGCGGTAGGCCAGCAAAAGCTGGCAATGGCAAAAAAAAAAAAAAAGAAATGAGTAATGTCACGATTGGCCCTTCTATGTTTACCCAAAAATGAAAATCGTCCTTCTACCGTTTTACTTTTTTATTTTTTCGTTCAAAAGCATTCCTCTACTACTTTTTAAAAATGTCGAGCATTCCTTAGGTTATAATTTTTCTTTTGATGGTCAATTTTTGTTGACATAAATTGTCCGGTTATTGACACAAACACAGTTATACCCATGTCGTGCCGTGACTTACTCAATTTATATGGCACCAAATTGGCAGCTCTCCAGGCAATAGAAGAGAAAAAACAAATTGAGAGAGAGAGAGAGAGAGAGAGAGAGAGAGAGAGAGAGAGAGAGAGAGAGAGAGAGAGAGAGAGAGAGAGAGAGAGATGGGAGTCCATTATGACGGACGGCCATAGCCACCAACTCAAACTCTAGGCTCGCAGCCTATTCATGCTCAAGCTTTGGATGCCATGGCTACTCAAGCTCATGACCGTAGCCGCTCGATTTAAGCTTGCGGCAGCCATGGCAACTTGAACTTTGAGCTCAATGCTGTCATGGCTGCAAGATCTTTTCGAGCCACGAAATTCGAGGCCATGGCCACTCAATTGGTGGTTGTGAGGGGTACAAATCATAGTTTTTGCATTGTTGTGGTTGTTAAATTTTGTGAACTTTTTATTTAGTAGGATTTAAGGAAGAAGAAGAAAAGGAATATGTAGGGGAGAGAGAGAGAGAGACAGACAGAAATAGTCAACATTCGAAAAAAGAAAAGAAAACCACATCGGCAAATAAAAGGAAACCAAAATCCATGCAAGAAAATAGTTAACGGCATTATCGCCAAGTCAGCAAATTCCATCGCTGGACCTAAATAAGATTGATGGCACTTTTCTAAAGTGAGGGATGGTTTTGAAGCCAAAAAGGTAGACTGACGATGTTGTTTTCGGGCGGAAGTAAAAGGACCAAATATGACTTGCCCATTCTATTGGCACTTTTTCAGCCTGTTCTAATGCATGTGAAGTAAACCCGTGATTTGAATTGATCAGGGACCCAAACTAGACAACAAGCATCAAACCATCAACTTTCTCAATGCCTCGGCCATAGCAAACAAAATCACACATACAACTATCACAGTGCCATTGCCGCCGAAGTGACAGGCAACCAAAACAATCATCCCCTCGCGGAGCTAGGACCAATGAACGAGCTCACAATATCGAAAACCTTCGAACCCAACCTCTAAACCCGAATCCTAGCAAGCTCGACCCAGTCCTTGGACTACCACCAAATTCGATGGCTGCGGTTCCTCTTGGACCTCCTCATCAACATGGATAGCAAAAATGAAGACGAAAATGAAGAAGAAGAGGATTACGACGATAATGAAGTGAGGAATTACAATCAAGAGAAGAGTAAATGGAAGGACAGAGGCAAAATTGAAGATGGGCTTTCTGTTCTTCGTAGGTCCAGAGTGGACATTTACTGTCGGTGTGAGCCTCGGCCCCGACGCGTTCCATAGCGTGGGGCTCTGGAACGAGCGGCAGAGGAGATTCCTCAAGTGCTTGGCGACATGGAAGTTCGTGCCGTGGACTTTGGAATCGCAATCTCAGCACAGGTTCGCTTGGTCCAACTCACAGTACATGGTAGCTAGACTATTGCAGAGCTCGCATGGCTTCTTCTCCTTCATAGCTCTCTCTCTATGGCTCGCTCGTTTGTTTCGGTTTCAGTGAAAAAGAAGAAGATAGCCACGAGTAGCAAGAGAGAGCCAGGCTTTTCATTGGAAAGCTGCGACAATTTATCGAAAAAAAAGAAGAGAGAAGAAAATTATGAAAACAAATGGGGGAGACAAAATATATGATACCTGAGCCCAGAGGACGTTGGGGTGGGTGTGAGCTTTGATGAAGTAATCGGTGCCCCATTTGATGGCCTCGAGCGCGTGCGCCAGCTCGCCGGCGCCGGCGATCTGTTCGCCGTACTCGATCACCCCCCACGACAGCATTGTGATGGTGAACGCCATTGGGAGGCCGAACTTGACGTTGTCGCCGGCGTCGTAGTATCCTCCGACCAGGTCCACCTTCGCATTCCAGCAGAACGCAGAATTCGTCAAGCAATATTCATTTTAATGCACGACCCATATGGAAAGGATAACAGAAAGGGGAAGAAAAGATCGAAAAGAAGATCCGATGGCACAGTCGGATTGAATCAGGACGCACCCCTTGCTCGAGGCCATCGGTGAGGCCGGAGTGGCCGCGCCAGGCGACGCGCTGGTTGTGCGGCAGACGCCCGGAGCGCGGCGACTCGAAGTAGAGGAGGCTCTTCGCGAGCGCTTCGCCGTAGTCCGGAGGCCAGGATTGAGAACGAGAGACGGTCGCGAGTGCGAAGAGGAGGAGGAGGGGAAGGGCGGGGCGACGCCGCCGGAGAAACGCGAGCATGGCGGCGTTCATGCAGGGATGGCGTCTCTCCCTCCCTCTCTCTTCTCTCTCTCTCTCTCTCTCTCTTGGTGGGTATGTATGCGGAGTTTATAATATGCGAGCCTTTTGGTAACTTGGCAACTTGCCTTGATATGGTTAGCAAAAAAAGCTCAAAAAAAATTTTGGGTTCAAACCTTAAACGAGCTCAAGCACGCGTCCTAAAAAGGAACTCATGCGGTGACAAAAACAGTAACTTACTAGGATCTGGTTACCAATCTGTTTCAAGGGAAAAGCATTAATTATTTTTCCCCCCGGGTGTAATAACAGCGATGCTCCCTCTAAGAGTCCCCCGAGAACATCCGCTGAAATGGAAGAAGAAGTCTCGTGCGTATATGTTATATCGGGGCAGGTGTCGGTCAACTAATCAAGTGCCCTCGTCTGCTACGATTTCTATACGGAGACCGAAGACGGGACGCATCTTGATCGAGCGAACGACACCGTCTCACAGCCCGTCACGGTAGGTGAAATGTTGCCTGGAGCTCTAATTTTTTGGAGACCCCCGAGGCTACACGTAGGTGACTCTTCGTGGGGAAGGGGTGGTTGATTTGACAGGGCAAAGACGAAGACCCATTTTCATGGAATTTTCAATTCGAACGGGGGTGGAGATTGAATGACTCTCGACTTTCCCACCACCGCTTTTACGTGTTCAACCTGACACGTTCCCTTTCGTCTGGTGAAACGCAGTTGGATTTTTTATTTTTAGTTTTATTTTTGGGGGTAAAAAAAGGGAGTTGGATTAAGTCGCGCAGGTATGGTCAAGGCATGGTCCGATGAGGAGAAATTTCAGACACTGTGCTGGGGGAAAACCTTTTGGCTCCGAGCGCGTGAGACGCAAGCAGCGCTTCTGAGAGAGATGGGAGAACGAACTCTCGGGATGACGGTGGAAGGAGTTTGGGAGAGTAAATTAAGTATATGATTTCTCATGTAAGGGGGAAATTGTCCAAAAAAGTCTCGAATCTATTACACTTTTATCAATTCAGTCTTAAATTTTTTAATTATGCCAATCGAGTCATAAATCTTTTCACGTTTTACCAATTGAGTTCATTCGGCTGATACGCAGGCTGTCCTAAGTGGCGCGGCCAATAGCGACGTAGACATTATTAATAATATTTTAATAATTTTTTGATTTGTCCTTTCTTTCTTTTGTTCTCTTTTGCTTCTTTACTTGTTCCTTTTTTATTTTTCCTTTTTCCTTCGTCCGCTTCAGGCAAGGGGCAAAGGGCGGCCCTTGCCTGAGGTTGGTGGCCGACCATCGACAAGGCCCGACGGAAGGAAAAAAGAAAAAGAAGATAAAAAAATTAAAGAAGAGAAAAAAAAAGATTAAAATAAAAAATTAATAAAAAATTGAAAAAAAATTAAAGAATTATCAAAAATTGTCTATGTCAGGGCCGGCCATCCCCGGCCGTGCCACACAGGACGGCCGGTGTCAACATCAACTGTTTCAGGCCAAAATTGATCGGATGGACTTAATTGACAAAGCGTGAAAATGTTTATGACTCAATTGTCACAATTAAAAGGTTTAGAATTGAATTGGCAAAAGTGCAATAGATTTAGGACTTTTTGGATGATTTGCCTCTCGTGTAATCTAATGAACTCGGAAGGAAAAGAAATGATATTTTTTAAGTAATATAACAAGATGGTTACAAGTTTTCGGGAGGCGTGCGCCAATTAAACCTCCAACCCATTCTAAATCTCATAGGATTTTCCTAATAGGTGCCTCAAACCCGTCTCACAATTCGAAACCCGATTGCAAATTGGTGTTTGATCCCGATTTAACCCCATCAGCCTCCATCCCTAGAACAAACATCTAAGGTAAGCAACTTTTAAGTATAGAAGTCCTACTCCTAACTCATTACCTAGATACGTTGAGCATGATTTATATGGAACTTGATTTGTTACCGAGTGAAAGGTTCATTTTTGTCATATCTCTGATAGGAAAGTCTGCCGGATGCAAAAAAGAGGAAAAGATGCAGTTGTTATTTACGGCATAATTGCAAATTTCACTTATAGACTATCTGTCTGTCAAGGATCTTTAGATCAGTTCGGATGATGCCATATATAAAATCGATGTAATATGCATATTTGGCTAACGGACTTCAAACGAATCATGTTTGTTCACGCGCTAACGATGTCGTTTCCAAGGAAAAGGCATGTGGGTACATGAACTTATGATCAATCTATACACGCACGAGTGAGTTTTCTCTCCACCAACTCCAAATGCCAAATGATAATGTAGAGTTTGGTCACTCGAGTCAATCTCCAGACAATATAATTTGACGGTGAGTTCAAGCTTCATCGTCTTCACCGGTGAGAGTGGACTTGTGGAGCAATAGCAAGTCGACCCTTTTCATATGCGTTCCGAAATATGATGATTAGGTACCCAAAAATGTCAGTAGCATGTCTTTGTCCATTGATAAGGTCGTCGTGGTTCAGTATGTGGGTATTGAGGTTCAGATCCAGCTCATTATCATAAGCTTAACTACTCGTATTAAGTGGAAACCACCGACTTTGGGGTTTAATTTAATAAGTTTTTGAGAGAAGATTAGCGTTTATTTTGCTTTCTAGAAACAGTAGGTAATTGAGGGAACAAATATAGTACGTGGAAAATGATGTGTTCAGTGAGATTGCATCATCTCTTCCCACCAAAGACATAAAGAACGACTTCTCCAAAGAAGGGAGAAAAGAGCGAATACTGTCTCAAGTGTAGCCTTCCCCAGCCTGGCCCTTTGCATGCAAATCTTACAGTTGGGGCTGGGCTTACTGAGACTAATGCTAAGTTTGTCCTACCGCAACTCGAGAATCGTGTACATGTATATTCATACGTATTTACATGGTACATAAAGTAGAGACAGTATGTATTGCTATGGTTTTATGTGTCTATGCTAGTGCAGACAAGGGTTTAAATTGCGATTATGGGATTCTTTCCGGGGGAAAAAGATGTGTTACAAGAGCAAAAAGGCGTACATATAAACAAGAGCAAAAAGGCCCAAAGTTTAGGCTTGTAGCTTGCAGCAGAGGAAACATTAGCTGCTCCAAGTTTTGCAACTCCCTAGCGTCTATGGTGGCTTGGGCTTCGACGACCAATAAGGTGGCGAATAATGACCATAGAGTGTCGACCAAAAAAACAAATGACCATAGAGTGTAAGCCAGGGGTTTCCGCAACAAGATCCATGTCCCGGGGACCCGAATCATCTCTAGAGATGACAAAGATCAAGAGCTAGCATGTGCTATGGCGATCAGACGGAGAAAATGAGGGAAATAGGCTCTCGAAGGAGGCGACAATCGAGGCGAATCCAAGCCCCTACACAGCCAAATCGATCGACACCCTTATTTGCCTATCCGATATAGTTAATTTTCAAAGATTAACTTTACGCTGCACCCAAGCCCTACACAGCCACAACAAAGATCATTTTCCATCTACAACGCAAGAATGATCACGATAGCATCATCACCCATAGTAGATTATAACGAATCCTTTCTTTGCACTCTGATCTCATTTGTTTGGTTTGATCCTTAGGAATGTGAGTTTTAGCTGTACGGATCCAAGTTTCGTGGATTAGCAATCGCCTAGAACTCACCTCAGAGGCCCAAAACCATTCAGCCCGGTGACATTGATACATGGCCTACTGCTTTTTGGGCTTGACTAAAAGTAAAACCATGAGCTGTATAAGCTCTCTTCAACAGATCTCTGTAATAGAACCTAGTATCCGATAAAGAAATTTGGGTAGAAACGTCCTCAATTTTATGTTTCATCAAATTAATTTACGAGGGATGTATGATCGGTTGGTCGCGTCAATGTGCGAAGTTATATTCGTAATCGAAGGTGAGTACAATTTGTCAATTTCGGTCTGATAAGTTTCTGCTGAACCTTGGTCCTCAAAAACAATTAATTTCAGTACCATCTTTAACTATGCTCTTTCTTTATGAGTGAAAATCAATTACCAAGGGTTTTCTTTTCATGCCTTCTTTCTCCAATAGGCCTCTCGCTGAGATTGGTCCATCCACATGTTGGGCCTTCCAGCCAGCCTTGCTCTGTATTTTCTCTTTAATGTTGGAATCGTATTTCTTTTCTTTCTTTTTTTCCTTTTTAATTTGGACCGTCTCTTATTTTATATGGTATCTTAACATAGAAGTAACGTTCGAAATGTTTCTTGTAAATTTCGTTTTAGCTCATACATTTGATGTGCTTGTTCAATCCAATGAAGTGATTCCGGTCACCTTACCTTAACTTTTTAGGTTGGATGTTTATTTAATGATTTTTGCACACAAAAACCTAGGATAATCAAGAGAACCAAATGATTGACTCCCACATTATTAAAATTTCTCAGTAAATGCACTTTGACTTTTGTAAAATCCAAAATACCTTATACTTTTACAACATGCAAATTATTGACACGTGGATTTACATATAATTTGTCTATATTTTGTAAAGTTAGAACACTATTTTAACTGTTGACGTATTCTTTACTTTCACAATCGAATTTTAAACAAATAAGCCTTTTATTTTCCAATGGAATACATTTTCTTTTGCGCATTTATACAGGATCTCCCGAATTTAATAGGGATATGTGAAGATAGTTAGCTTACTTTACATATTTCACTCATCCAACAAGATGCTTTTATGAAACGGATTTGGATATGAGATAAGCTCATATCAAGTCAATTTAATAGGCATTTTGCACGTTCTAATGGCACCTTTTTAGTCCGTTCCAATTTGTGTAAAGTAAACCCATTACAAATTTACACGATTAGAAAAGTGAAAAGAGCGGAATTAAGATTATGTAATTCAATGTGTTGCCAAGTAGCTCTCCCGGATGATCCAAAAAACAAAAACAGAAATAGTGTGCCTTGCCTATAAAGACTATGCAAAGCCCTTGGATCTTTAATTTGTCTAATCGAGTCATTAAATTTATATGGCTTTTCTAATTATATCTCTCCACCTCTAAATTTGGTTAACTGGAGCCCATGCTTTCAACGAAGTGGGTGAGAGAATATTGAAATATTTTAACACTCTGGTTTTTTTCTCTAGTATTAAGCGTGGAAATATTTCATTGGGGAAGCAAAAAATGGACGCCTGAAAAGATTTGAACTTAAGAGTTCCTGCTCTGGTACCATGTTAGGTTTCGTGGGATCACTGCCAACTATTCTAAAAATTTAAACTGTTAAACAAATACGTAGTTTAATAATTAAATATTCTAACAGCAATAAAGATTTCCTAGTAATTCTATAAGGAATTATCGATTAAAAACATCTTTAAGTCTCTTTATTGGCAAATGAGATTTGACTTGCGAAACGGAGCTCTATCATCAGGCAAGTAATTTGTCGTGAGGCATTGACAAAGCGTATTCTTGTCAAGCTCATTTACAGTTACCACTATAAAAAAAAAGCGCAATTAAAGAATTTTTAGGACAGTCCAATTCGTCAATCGTCAAATGGACAAGTTGTTAGCTCCGTGACCGTGCGGCGATGTACACGTGGCAATGCACAGGCCCGCGCGGGACGTTTCAAGAAGATTTTTTCCGTGGAAATATTTCTGTGGTGCTAAGGATTTTCCACACCCAAGTGACCCCACCATGGAAATTATGTGCCCCAATAATGTCATCTTAAGAAGACTTTGGCTTCGACCTTCTTGAGAAGACCCGTGTTGATCACTTCACGCTACAGAAGGGCTTTATAAGTGGAAGCACCCCTTCCACCGCCACCAATAAACTCACTCGCATCCTAAATTGCAATATGGGGTGGCATCAGATCCTCCTCCGCCTCCTCCTCTGTTTCCACTTTTTCATGCATGCCTCCCTCCGCTTTGCTTCTCCCCTTTGCCCTCCTGACCAACGCGATGCCTTGCTCCATTTTAAGAGTTCCTTCGTGCTTGATAGCGTGGCGTCGGGCTATTGTGATTGGGATGGCCATGTCGCGTCTTATCCGAAGACAAACTCATGGAATAAGGGCGTGGACTGCTGCTCGTGGGACGGCGTCACTTGTGACGGTGTCACCGGCAACGTCATCGGTCTCGATCTTACTTGCAGTCGGCTTCGTGGCGCTCTCCATTCCAATAGCTCCCTCCTTCTCCTTCGCCATCTTCGAAGCCTCAACCTTTTCGGCAATAACTTCGTTGGCTCACACATTTCGCCTAATCTGAGTACTTTTGCAACATTAACTCATCTTAATCTCTCTAGTTCAGCTTTTTCGGGCACCGTTCCCGGTGAAATCTCTCACCTTTCCAAGTTGGTGTCACTTGATCTCTCTCACAATTATAATTTCGACTCATACTCGTTCTCTACACTCAGGTTGGAAAACTCAATCTTCACAATGCTTGTTCGGAATCTAACGACATTGAGAAAGCTTGTTCTTGATGAAGTAAACATGTCCATGGTTTCACCAAAGCCCTTTGCGAATTTATCTTCTTTGACACATTTAAGCGCTTCTTCTTGTTCCTTAAGGGGGATATTTTCGGATACTATTTTTCGATTACCGAGCCTCACTTATCTCGATTTAAGTGAAAATTATGAAGTGTCCGGGATTCTTCCCAAATCCAATTGGACTGGTCCTCTTGAGTCTTTGTCTCTCTCGTTTACGAGCTTTTCGGGAGAAATACCCGATTCAATTGGTACCTTGAAGAGTTTAACATTTTTAGATCTTACAGAGTGCAAATTCACGGGACATGTCCCATCATCATTGGCAGATCTCAAGCAACTCCAAGTTCTATGTATTGCTGGGAATAACTTCAGCAGCGCTATAGAGTTTGAAATCTTTACAAAGCTTGAAAATCTCCGAGAGCTTGGGGTTTCTCAAGAACTAAATCTAATCTACAATACACTGAAGTATACATTCCCGAAGCTTGAAGAATTGCAACTGTCTTCTTGCAACTTGACCAAGTTTCCCTATTTCTTGAATTCGTTGAAAAGATTAACATACTTGGACCTCTCGTCAAATAGGATTAGAGGGGAGATCCCGAGGTGGTTTTGGGGAGTAAGCCATGATACATTGGAAGTGTTGGATCTTTCTTATAACCGTTTGGAGGGAGGTATACAACAATTGCACTGGAAGAGATTGTCATATATTAACCTTGAGAGCAACTCATTCCAAGGACAACTCCCCTTCCTTCCTCTTTCAACTTCCATGTTTTCTGCCATCAACAATGGTTTCACCGGTGAGATCCCCTCTATGATTTGCCAGTTGAGTTCACTCAGAAGTTTGTCTTTGTCTAACAATAGTCTCTCTGGGAATATGCCACCATGTTTTGGTAATATAACCAATCTCGAGGAACTAGAGTTGAGCAACAATAAATTACAAGGAACATTACCGCGCTCCCTAGTCAAATGTGTAAACTTATCGAGACTAGCTCTCGATCACAACGAGTTCAGGGATGTCTTCCCACATTGGCTGGAAGCACCACAACTGAATTATCTTGATTTGCAATTGAACAAATTCCATGGTAGGATCAACCTCACTACCTTTGGACTCTCCTTCCCTACTCTTAAAACTTTGTCTATTTCCAACAACAATTTCATTGGACGGTGGCCCACCAAGGTTTTCTTAAACACCTCATTGACTATTATAGATTTGTCCAAAAACAAATTTGGAGGGCCAATTCCACTTCCATCTCCTTTCACATATTATTATTCCATTGCCAGTAATAATATAAGCGGAAGGATCCCTTCTTTGATTTGCAATGCCACCAATCTCAAGGTGATTGACTTTTCCAACAACAGCTTAACAGGTAGCTTGCCTTGGTGCTTAACAAATCTTAGCACCAGTCTGTCAGTTTTGAACTTGGGAATGAATTACCTCGATGGCACAATTCCTCAGTCGTTTTCTTCGAAAAGTAATTTGATGACTCTTGACTTGAGTCGAAATCAGTTTGAAGGCATATTGCCCCGATCGCTCATCAAATGTACATATATGGAAGTTCTAGATCTCAGTAACAATCAGATTGAGGATACGTTCCCAAGTTGGTTGGGAACACTCCCAGAACTGAAAGTTCTTGTTTTGAGGTCCAATAATTTGAAGGATCTTTTGAATATTCCTAGAGGAGCTCATCTCTTTCCCAAGTTACATATTTTGGACCTCTCCAACAACAACTTTAGCGGTCCTTTGCCGGTCAATTTGATAACGAACCTTGAAGGCATGATGAATGGCGATAATGGGCTAGACAAGTCATTGTATATGACCCGATCTTTCGGAATAAAGCCATACGAAAACACCGTGACCGTGACCATGAAAGGGCTTGAGATTGAGCTAGTGAGGATCTTGACCTTCCTCACAATTATTGACTTGTCGCGCAACTCTTTCCAAGGGAATATCCCCGAAGTTATTGGACATCTTCGCTCTCTCGTAGGGCTCAACCTTTCTCATAACCGTCTTATAGGTTCCATCCCTCCGACTCTAGGGAACTTGGCCGATCTTGGATGGCTTGATCTTTCTTCGAACAAGCTTAGTGGGGCAATTCCTAGAAAATTGGGAGATTTGGCATCCCTTGGGTACTTAAACCTCTTGGAGAACCAATTCACCGGTCGAATTCCACAAGATAAGCAATTGAGCACATTTTCAAGTGACTCGTTCAATGAGAATCCGGGCTTATGTGGAACTCCACTGCCAAAAGCATGCCCTGGCGATGCTCAACGTCCACCACCATCATCCTTATCAACTTTTGATCGCGAGGGGCATGAGAGTTGCTTCAAACAGAAAGTAGTGTGGATAGGTTATGCATCGGGAATCGTAATTGGGATTTCGATAGCATACATTGCATTTGAAACGGGAAGGCCCAAATGGCTCACACGAGGTGTGAGGATGCTAGAGAGAAGAACAACCGAGTTGATGGAGAAGTCAAAGCGGAAGGCCATCTAATTTCATGGACAATTAAATTCTTTGAGTCTGTCTCCGTAAACTAGCAATGTAAATCCAGTTAATAAAGATGTTGTCAGACTAGCTTGAAATGTCCTTTCCCTTATGAAGGCTTTGTTTCTAATGTCATCCCTTCTTGTTTCTCGGTGCAATTATATGTCAGTTGAATTGAGAAGATGAATAATCTGATCTGTCAAGCACACGAATTTAAATAAAGAAGAAGCAAAAAACAGGAAAAAGGAAAATAATCAAGTGCCATTAACCTCTGCGGTTATCTTGTCCATCTTCCCGTGTGCGTAACTTTTATTTGTCCATGAAGTATTAAAAGTGAAGAGTATCCGTAACCCATTTAGCCAGCGTCGTTAATGAGTTAATATGCCGAGGAAACATATCCCGAAGAATCATCACCGAAATCCGTCTATAGGATCTACTGTTTTTTTTTCCATTCAAAGAACGAAGCTTTGGGTGGAACATGCTTAATATTATGTTTCATTAAATCAACTTGGGACATATGTACGAGCAGTGGGTCACGTCAATATACGAAGTTATATGAATAATCGAAGGTTAGCAGAATTTATTTTTCTCATTGCGTAAGTTGGTCTTCGAAAGAATTTGACTTACAGAAACATCTTCGACCATGCTCTTTACGAGTGAAAACCAACTGCCACGAATTTTCTTCTCATACCTTCTTTGACATAGGCCTCTTGCTAAGCCCGGTCCATCTGCAAGTTGGATCTTCCAGCCAGTTCGCTCTAAGGCGTTACTTTGCCCTAGGGTTATTTTTTTTTTAAAGGTGGGACAATATCTTTTCTTTTTTTTTCTTTTTTAATTTGGGAAGTCTCTTATTTTTCTTTTTTTCGTTTCAGGCTCGTAGCCTTGACACGCACGTTCGATCCAATGGAGTTATTTTTGATCGGCTTGTCTCATCTTTTGAGGTCAAATGTTCACTAAATGAACTTTGCATACGAAAACTTACAATAGTCAAGAGAAATTTACAGCAAGTTTTTGGGGATCACTGACCGGAAACTACTGTAATGTTTAATGGAAGGATTATTCTTTACGATTAATACCACGAAAAATCTCAAACCGCTACACTTATGATAAATTTATCTCAAATTAATTTTTTGACCACCAAAACCCAAATTGATACACACGTGACAAATTTACTATTCGTTAGTTTACGTTAAATTTTACCATCAAATTGCTGAGTTAAATAATACGTGGCAGTTGACAGGTGTACCAATTTAGGATTTTACCCCTCTGTTTGTCACAGATTTATTAATTTATGATTTTTCGTGATATTAATCCAATTTAACGGAAGGTAAATTTGTCACAAGTGTACTGATTTAGGGTTTTTGGTGATTAAAAAATTAGTTTTGAGATAAATTATTGTTAAATTTTTCGTGATACTGATCCTATTTTTTTATTACGTGCATAACAAGTGAATTAGTAATTTTAAAACGGATACGAACTAGTTTTGTTTTGATGGGAGACATACAATGATGGAGGATAAGGCGAGGAAGGGGGGACGGTGGCGAGAAAATATTGCATGAGTGGAATACTCCACGTCAGCAATACACAACTCCATTGAGCGAGTGACACGTGGCAAGCGGGCCCACAGATCAGATTTATTAAAAAATCTCACTCTTTCCCTTCTCTCTCCCAACCTCCGTTAACTCTCCTCCGTTAGTGCTCAAATATTCACTTTTCACCTCCTGGTTTCTCTCTCCTTTACTCCTCCCGCTCAAAATTCCTCGCGCTCGCGACTTCCTTTTCCTTCCTCCCCGACTTCCTCTCCCTTCCTCCCCGACTTCGCATCCTTTGGTCGTGAACCCGCCGCGCCTACGCCGGTTGCCTCCGCCGTCCCCTTCTAGAAAACCCATTTGCTCTCTCTCTCTCTCTCTCTCTTTCCTCCTCGAAGCGCGGCTCTTTTTGTGGACCGCGCCTCTGCCTCCGCCGGTTTCCTCCGTCGTGGCCTCCCGGAGCCCATCGGTGGCTCAGATCCTGACCACGCGGCCGCCTCCGCCTACGCCGTCGCGTCGCCGTCTCCTCCGAAGCCCTCCATTGGCGATTCGTCCTCTGCCACTCTCTCTCTATCCCAAGAAACGGCTCCGCTCTGCTCTCTGTGACGAGCCGCGCCTCCGCCGTCGCCTCCCGCAGCCCCTTTGGAGATCTCGGGCTTCGACTCGCCCTCTGCGTTACTTCCCGAAGCCCCATTCTCAGGTTAGAGTTTTGCATGACTTGAACTTCCCGTCGTTTTTGCCCTAAAGTGAAGATTGGTGGCTCAGATCTCGACCACGCGGCCGCCTCCGCCTACGCCGTCGCCTCCGAAGCCCCCCATTTGGCGATTCGTCCTCTGCCCTTCTCTCTTTGTCCCGAGAAACGGGTTTGCTCGGCTCTCTGTGACTAACCGCGCCCCCAACAGGTTCCCTATTATTATGTTTTTTTGGCGTTCGGGCAGATTATCGGATTGGTCATGCTTAATTTGTCAAATAATCAGCTTGAGGTTCGTTTGGTGAATGGGTGATAATGCTTGTGCTTGTTATGACTGTGTGCTAAATGAAAGATGTGGCCTGTGCTCATTCTTACGCTCTCTATTGATTTTGTTCGAAGAACATGAGGCATGTTTCTTGAGTGCAATCTGTGGATAATGCCACAGACAACCATTTTTGTTCTTGTGCGGGAGAAAATAGATGCAAGCATCATAGGTTGTCTCTTCATTGGATTTCATCTGCAAAAATATAAAAGGGATCTTTTTAGTTGCACTGCTTTGAGATTATTGAGCTCTATTCGTTAAGCGCATCAATTAGTCTATTTTCTGCAAATTGGTTATGTTCACGTCCGGCATTTTTGTTAATTGTAGTCAATTCAAGTGTGGATCTAATTATGTTTAAATAACTGGCTTTTTTTATATTTTTTATCTTGAGTTCCCCCTTTTGCAGTTTGGTTTTGTGATCAATGAGCGGCCGAGGATCAATAAGAACAAGCACAAGGTCATGTAAATTTATCCGTACTTTTTGTAACACTGAAAATCAGGGCCCTCCATGTTGTTTGCGTTTCAAGAATTATTGTCGTCCATCTGTAAACTGTCAAGGAAACTAGATCAGACGCACCATGCCTCTAACAGCTTATGTTCCTTTATCTTGCATCCACGGAAGTTGAAGTAGGCAATGATCCATTTGGATTTCTATTACTTGATGAGGAGGACATCGAGAAAGCCAAAACAGAGATTGCGTACATGGATGCTTTTATCTACTATCTGATATCTGAGTTAAGATGGAGGAACATCATCACGGAAAATCCATACGAGGAAAAAATGGAACTCATGTGCTATTGGCCTTACCTTGCTCAAGGCAATTTAGGAGCTCTTTTAAGTTAAATTCTAGCTGATTCAAATATAAATGGTAATGGTCCTGGAAGATCAACTCAAGTCGATGATGATTTAGCTAGACATTTCAGTAACGCATTTCTTCAACTTTTTCAGATATTTGTTGAGGTAGCTGGTACTTACAGGGTGATTATGCCTCTTGCAATTAACAAGCAAAAATGAGAATCTTCAAGTTTTCACTCAATTTGATAAGACAAGTGTATCCATTGAATCAATGTAAATGTGGATAGGATACACTTGAACTACGCCTTTCGTTTTTCTTGTATATGTAAATTTGGGTGTATAGCTTACGTCACAAATTTCCTATATGTAAGTTTGCCCATCTACTTCCTTTGATTTTACTTTCATTGTCCCTGAAATGTTTCATACATGATAATCCAGGATCTCCTGCATGCATTGAAATGTTGCTTGAAGTTTGATGATGCGATTCACTATGCACAATATGTGAGTACTTTTATCGTTTCTTTAATTAGCATTAAGATATCATCGGAAGTTTGTGGACAATAGCACAAACTCCAACATTTAGTACCACTAATATTTGCACTAAAAACTTAATAATTCCTTCGTGTGATATCTCTGTAACACTAGGTTTTGAGGTGGGAAGAAATGCCTGCTGTTGAACGTGCTCATTTGTCGCGGGAGAAACAGGCAATTTTTTAACTCTTCCTTTTATTGCCAAAGTTCAATATCCTAATCATTTCTCTTGTGAGAAATCCATAATATAGGATGTATTTGCGAGCAATGTACTGCAACCTATTTGGGCTACTATGTTTATTTGTTGGGCTTATCTGCAAACAATAGACAGTCTTGAGTGGATGTACCGATGTACCAGTAGAGTCGCATCTTAGTGGAACTCAAAGCTTAGAAATAGTAGCTAGAATGAATTTGTTAGATGTTAACTTGTAAATTGTGTTGTCTGGGTGGCTGGCTTTGCTGCTTTGTCCAATTGAAAATCATTGGATATCTAATCTAATGAATCAATAGTTGATTGTTTTTGTTGGTTGTGGAGCACTTCTGCTGTGGTTAGTGTGGTTAAAGCCAATATTCAACGTGATATGTTAATGTTAGGGATTTTGGAATGACAACGGTGACTATAAAAGTGTAGCTGATCCTGAAAATTGTGTATAGAATATAGACATTCTATGGTACACATGGTGATCGATTTGCCAAATTTATTGGTTTTTTAATAGCTTGTCCGGATACTTCATTTAGACACAATGGATTAATGCATAAGATATGAACTTTCCTTGAATCTTTTTTTCTAGACATAAAACTGTCTAAGGAAAAGTAGGTGTGGCTCCAATGAGGGAAAGACATAAGTCCATGATACCCCATTGAGATGATTTTTCTTGTTTGGCAGTAAGTAAGAGATTAAACCCCAATATCGTTAATTTCGATTTTCCGTTCGTTATTGATGACGATGTGGAGTTTAGTAATTACATTGGGTCCCTAAATAAATCCCATGCTTGTATATTTTGCTGATTGTGCTCTAAAAATGTTTGTGTGAGTGATTGTGTTCTAAAAATGTTTGTTTTTTATTTCATTAGGAGGGAACTTCATAGTCTCTCACCACCTCAGTTATTTTGCACTTGTAAAGATATCAAATGACTGACTTAGAGGTAATTCTTTACTCATAAAACATAATTTGTGATGCATGGGATGGTTTTCTCAAATGAACTTGAAGCATATCATAAGCATATCAACAAAGGATTTGGAGTGAGAAAGGGTAATGCGGTTAAAAATAGAAAAGGTGAAAATAACCCGGCGGACTTTTTTGTGTAATTGTGAGGGGTATTCGGTTGGGTCATCTGATCAAGAAAAGAAATATGAGAGATTCGGTTGGGTCATCGGAAAATATCCAATATGCAGCTTCAGTGATCGGAGGCTCATTCATGATCAAAGGTATTTCGACTTACCATTTGTTTTGGGCTGCTACTTATAATGAAATCATTGGTATTTTGACTTACCATTTAGTGATCGGAGGCTCATTCACCTATAATATTTGTTCAGCAATGTGCAGATCAAGAGTGATTTGAACCTGTCAACTGGTGTGAAGTATCAGTGTGAAGTTTCAAGAATGATCCGAAGGAACAAGTTCGTATGGCGTCGTCTCACAATTTAGTATTTGGGTCCAGAATGCATGAACTCATGCATATATTGAAGATGATTGGTTTTGATTCAAGCTAGCAAAATTACAAGCTCTACTATACTAGACTGAAAATGTATTTATGTATCATAGGTGGATTCTAAATTGATTCCCTTGTCTAAATTGAACAGGGACCTGGTGAGAAGCCAGCAGCAGCACCACCAGCTACAGCACTTGCAGCTGAGTTAGTATATGCAACAAAATGGGCAGATTTCTCTTTATCCACAGTTGGATTTATCTTATAGAATTTTATTGGGCTTTCAGGGTATTGAACAAGGCAAAGAAGTGAGACCCGTGATGAAGAACACTAAAGAGTACACAAATTTTGGTGTTCTTTGTGTCTTTAGTAACTATGTTAGATTATTTTTGCCTACTTGTTTCTGTTTGTTTTGGAACTTACTGTTTCGTCCGGTAGAAAGACGGAGTTTGATGATTTTTAAAGTTCTATTTAGATCCTTGTCTTTCCAATTATTACCGTGGATTTCATTCTTTTAGTGTTGCACTTGGGTGTGACTGTTTTTCTCTGATTCATCCTTACTCACTTCGTTGGATCCATCTATGTGCATTATCAATTTGTATGAATGGAGTTTCTTTTCTAAAAAAGAGAGAGAGTGGCAGCATTGGAAGCTGGTACACCCATATGTCGTAGAAGGGTGCATTACCTATAGCAATTACATTTGTCGTGACTAGAGTTGAAAATGATCACAATTCGTGGTGTTTTATGATCATGTGTGGGTTTATCTTGCGTCAGAATAAGCAAAGCTAATATTGTTTGGCATACTTTAGGTAAAAAGCGTTATGTTGCTTAAAACAGGCAAGCACTGTGTGTTAATCTTGTCTATCAAGAAAATTGACCCAAAAAACGATTATGTTTTGAATTAAGGTCTGCTTCTGGAGTGAAAGATGGGAAATTCTTCATTGGGACTTAACAAAATGACCAGATGGATGAAAAATTTAGCATCCTATTCGGGATAAGGTCTGTTTCCACAAGTTAGAGCATCCTTTTTAGTAAATGAATTCCACATTTGAGGTCTGAATATTAGTTTCTTCATGTTGTATATCTCCGCAATCTTAATTTCAATGTTCCTTGCACGGATTTAGAGCTTTTAGCAATTCTTTCGTGCAATATTGCCAAGTTTGTTTTGTGTCAATATGCCTTTCACATCTCCACATAAGTACATGGATATACATAAATTAGAGGAGTAAGAAAAGAAATGGGCACAAGACTAACCAAACTGTCCGCAACGCGGAGCTTTAGCGCGAAATTTGGTTGCGCCATAACTTTCTTCACTAAACTCCATTTCAAGCGAGCTTATAGTTAAAAGAAAGCTCATTCAGAGCACTACAAGAACCCTAACTTGGCCGTCCCAAAATCGAGCCGAAAGTGGACGAAAATCGGCCTAAAAGCCGCTGATCGCGCACTGTTCACTACGCACGCTCAACTTCAAAAATTCATATCAGGCAAACTGTAAGTCGTAATCGGGTTCCATAAAATCCCACGGTCCCGCAACATCCTAAACTACCAATTTTATATATATACGTAGCTCAATGACTAAAAAATCGGATTTCGCCACTTGAATAACACATAAATGGGCACAAAGACTAGCCAAACTATCCGCAACGCGAAGCTTAAGCAGGAAATTTAGTTGCACCGTAACTTTCTCCACTAAACTCTGTTCCAAGCAAGCTTATAGTTAAAAGAAAGCCCATTTGAAGTACTACAAGAACCCTTACTTGGCCGTTCCAAAATCGATCCGAAAGCGGACGAAAATCGGCCTAAAAGCCGCTGGTCGCGCACTGTTCACTGCACGCGCTCAACTTCAAAAATTCATATCTGGCAAACCGTAAGTCCTAATCGGGTTCCGTAAAATCCCACAGTCCCGCAACACCCTAAACTACCAATTCTACATATATATGTAGCTCAACGACTCAAAAATCGAACTTCGCCGGTCAAATAACACATAATTCTGAAATATGAGCCCTAACTCGGAAAAATATTCCGATTGAACAAACGAGGGGTGTGAATTCTTACTGGACATTGCTAATCGAAGTCGAATCGGCTTAGCGAGACCCTCGCGGTGCAAAATCCTCTTCTGTTTTCTCTTTTTCTTCTTCCTCATTCCTTTCCTCTCTTTTCTTTTCTTTCTCGACAGCTCTCGGCCCCTTTAAAAATCAGAAGATGTCCACTGTAGCTTTTGTTGACTTATTGGCTTGTTGATTTTTTTTTTTCCAAATATTACAAGTTCTCTCTCTAAATCCTGAGTTCTGTTTTCCATTCTCTCCCAATCTTACTAACAAGTGAAGAGAGTTGCAAAATAACACAAAATGGCATCCATCTTGCAGACAATTACACTACTTAAAGAGCAGTGAGTATATCTAATCTCCATGTCGCAACAATTCCATCCACTATTAACCAATTACACAATGGCTTATGAAAAATAGAATCTAATTGGCCTTTCCACTGTAATGCAGATACAAACCAAGCCAAATAGAAATAACAAAGCCAATCAGTTCACTCACATTGACAAGCTCACCACAAGGGACCTCCTCACCCGAACCAGAGGGCAGAAACAGAGGAGGTGCTATGTAGTTTATGGGAATTGCTAAAATAGAGGGCAGAGTGGATCAAGTAGGATTTTTCGCTTGAACAAATCAGACTATCTTTCCAGAAACAGTCATAACCAGACAATCTTTGCTGAAACAGTCAACCAAGAATTGGATTGAAGAAGATGAAATCCCATGTTATCATAACAAAGAAGCCATAACTAGACTATCTTTCCCACGATCATTGCATAATGGAATAGTCAACATCTTATTCACTGAATCCATCAGCAACAAAAGAACAAAAACAACCACATCACTTCCCTGAACCCATCATCAACAAAAAAATACAGCCACATCACTTCCCTAAACCCAACCCCCACAAATGGCTATCATTCTTATAGGTCAGAGTTGCGTCCTTTCAATATTTTTTTTCTTTCTTGATGGCCTTACTACTTTAACTGGAACTTCAACTTCAGCTTCTAGTGATGTTGATTCAACCTGTGCTTGTGTATCAATTCTTTGTCTCTTGTCCTCTCTAGCACTTTTTACTCTTAACCTAATATTATAAGATTTCATTAATTTAAAAATCGTTGTTAGTAAAAATGTAAATCTAACAAAATGGAAGTACTTACCGGAAGTTTTTGCCTAGACAATGGTGTTTGTGATGCCACTAACCCAGCCTTCTTAGTGGGGCATGTTAAACTATTGTGTCCCGTCTTCTTGCAACTTCGATATGTCATCTTCATTCCCATCCTCAACATCCTAATACCACTTGCGACCTCACCTTCCTCTTATTCTGCAACTATATCTGGATGCAGGAAACGTTTGGCAAACCACCTAGTCATGTAGAACAAGATTGAAGATCCATTAGGAGACTTGTGAATGATCATTACCGGGGTCGGAAGGAAAAGACCACTTGCCATTTAGTTTGGTTAAATGCAGATACATGTATGACGCGATCACTCCATTCTAAGTCCTTCCACTCATCAACAACACCATCATAGTGGAAAAGCATCACCACAAAATCATTTGCCAGAAACTGCAAAGTGAAAATTGACACAGTTAGCCTGGAAAAAAGCTCGATAAAAATAGGCTAAGCAACAGCCAGAAAAGTCTCCTCACCTTTGTAACAATTTTATTCACAAGATCCTTTTGCTTGATTCCAACAGCCACGGCAAACAAGTTAGACGAAGAACTAAGAGAGCCCTGTCCAAAGATCAAGCAAGTTAATGCATGTTCAGAACTATGATGTTATATCTTCTACATTGAAAAAACTATTGTCATTTCAGGTTGTTGTTTTTCCTCTGCAGAATCCCATAACGGCCTCATTTCCAAATCAGAAGAAATGGGAACAATACCTTCTGGTAAGGCCTCACTTCCACATGGTCTGCATCGATTCTGAAATGAAAACACAAATAAGCTATTAAGCAACAAGTGAGACATCTGGCATGGCACAATTAAATTGAAAGTGATGAGGTTCAAAACTGCCATTCTCTAATAACAAGCACTGGATGGAAGGATGACATACCGCACAAGTGCTGGTGTTAGAGCTCTGTGATTTATCAATTATCCTCCAATCCCATCCTGAGAATTTCTGCAAAACATTTTCAATTTCATTCGCAACATCCAGCATATAAACTACCGGAACCGAGTAACAGTGAAAAAACATGATTATCTGTAGAACTAAGAAGAGTAGGTATACACCTCTCTGTAATCTGATGCCAACAGCGCACTCCCGATGAAGAGTCCTAGACAAAACAAAGATGCCGCAGGAAAGAAGTTACAGAATTGTATCTCTGTTCTTGTCATTCTATGCTTCCAGCAAGCATTTATCTAACCCTGAAAGCCATAGTTAGACTGCAGTCCCATTGTTGTAATACATTTTACATATTCCTGCAAGTGATAGGATCCAGTCCTTAGTCAAGTTATCAATCTTATACTAAAATTATAAAATTAACCTAGTCAAAAGCCAATTATTGACTTCAACACAAAATGGCAATTTTCAGTGAAGTAATCTCTTATAAAGTTCATCCAGTTTCAATGAACTCTAAGCAAAGGTGTATAGTCATAAGTGAAAAAATATTGTACCATGGTTATTCAGAGGTAGGTCCATCTAACTATGAACACCAAAGTAAAATGCATCTCTGGAAATCCTAAGGATAGGAAAACTCAATGATAGTTTGGCACTTGTTTATATGGCATTGTTGTGCATTTAAACCTAAACAACACTCGTAGACATAAACACTTACTAAACCTTAAAAAACCCTCAGGAAGTCTCTAAATAACACAGGAGTTACTAAGGCCGTGTAGATTTTGCTCCATTATGTTAATGCTAGACCAAAGAAACTTGAGATTTTTCAAGATTTCTTACTTGGTGGAGAACTGCCCTCCGGGTGCTAGATCCAACATATTCCTCAAGATATTCCTGCACATAATACATTACGCTTCCATAATAGAAAGAAAAATAGACCAATGGCTTTACCCTGTGGATTGCTCTCTCTCTCTCTCTCTCTCAGATTATCTGAAACCTCTGTCCGTGGAAGCCTAACACATCGACGCACTTCCATGTTCCAAAAGAAAGACTCCAATCATAAGAACACAAATGAATTTACTTGGGAGTCATTTATTCATACTATCACAGAACAACTAATTGTTCTCCTGAAATCCTTCTTTCTTTTGGGATGGAGAAAGATTAAGCGTTTCTCCTTTGACAGAGATGAAAGGAGGATGCAGTGGATTTTACAATGATGGTTTAAGTACATAAGTACTGCCTACTTTTGAGTAGTGGGTATCCAAATCAACAGCAGCCCTTTGTTCCAGAGTTTTAGCCCTAAAAACGCGGATTGCAATTGAGATGGTTCGCCGGTCAATCTACGCAAATCAAAAGATCATTGTTAGACCACTCAAATAGTGGATCAAGTGCAATA